AAGGGTGAAACAGAGGGAGCAAGGGTGAAACAGAGGGAGCAAGGGTGAAACAGAGGGAGCAAGGGTGAAACAGAGGGAGCAAGGGTGAAACAGAGGGAGCAAGGGTGAAACAGAGGGAGCAAGGGTGAAACAGAGGGAGCAAGGGTGAAACAGAGGGAGCAAGGGTGAAACAGAGGGAGCAAGGGTGAAACAGAGGGAGCAAGGGTGAAACAGAGGGAGCAAGGGTGAAACAGAGGGAGCAAGGGTGAAACAGAGGGAGCAAGGGTGAAACAGAGGGAGCAAGGGTGAAACAGAGGGAGCAAGGGTGAAACAGAGGGAGCAAGGGTGAAACAGAGGGAGCAAGGGTGAAACAGAGGGAGCAAGGGTGAAACAGAGGGAGCAAGGGTGAAACAGAGGGAGCAAGGGTGAAACAGAGGGAGCAAGGGTGAAACAGAGGGAGCAAGGGTGAAACAGAGGGAGCAAGGGTGAAACAGAGGGAGCAAGGGTGAAACAGAGGGAGCAAGGGTGAAACAGAGGGAGCAAGGGTGAAACAGAGGGAGCAAGGGTGAAACAGAGGGAGCAAGGGTGAAACAGAGGGAGCAAGGGTGAAACAGAGGGAGCAAGGGTGAAACAGAGGGAGCAAGGGTGAAACAGAGGGAGCAAGGGTGAAACAGAGGGAGCAAGGGTGAAACAGAGGGAGCAAGGGTGAAACAGAGGGAGCAAGGGTGAAACAGAGGGAGCAAGGGTGAAACAGAGGGAGCAAGGGTGAAACAGAGGGAGCAAGGGTGAAACAGAGGGAGCAAGGGTGAAACAGAGGGAGCAAGGGTGAAACAGAGGGAGCAAGGGTGAAACAGAGGGAGCAAGGGTGAAACAGAGGGAGCAAGGGTGAAACAGAGGGAGCAAGGGTGAAACAGAGGGAGCAAGGGTGAAACAGAGGGAGCAAGGGTGAAACAGAGGGAGCAAGGGTGAAACAGAGGGAGCAAGGGTGAAACAGAGGGAGCAAGGGTGAAACAGAGGGAGCAAGGGTGAAACAGAGGGAGCAAGGGTGAAACAGAGGGAGCAAGGGTGAAACAGAGGGAGCAAGGGTGAAACAGAGGGAGCAAGGGTGAAACAGAGGGAGCAAGGGTGAAACAGAGGGAGCAAGGGTGAAACAGAGGGAGCAAGGGTGAAACAGGGGGAGCAAGGGTGAAACAGGGGGAGCAAGGGTGAAACAGAGGGAGCAAGGGTGAAACAGAGGGAGCAAGGGTGAAACAGAGGGAGCAAGGGTGAAACAGAGGGAGCAAGGGTGAAACAGAGGGAGCAAGGGTGAAACAGAGGGAGCAAGGGTGAAACAGAGGGAGCAAGGGTGAAACAGAGGGAGCAAGGGTGAAACAGAGGGAGCAAGGGTGAAACAGAGGGAGCAAGGGTGAAACAGAGGGAGCAAGGGTGAAACAGAGGGAGCAAGGGTGAAACAGAGGGAGCAAGGGTGAAACAGAGGGAGCAAGGGTGAAACAGAGGGAGCAAGGGTGAAACAGAGGGAGCAAGGGTGAAACAGAGGGAGCAAGGGTGAAACAGAGGGAGCAAGGGTGAAACAGAGGGAGCAAGGGTGAAACAGAGGGAGCAAGGGGAAAACAGAGGGAGCAAGGGGGAAACAGAGGAGCAAGGGGGAAACAGAGGGAGCAAGGGTGAAACAGAGGGAGCAAGGGTGAAACAGAGGGAGCAAGGGTGAAACAGAGGGAGCAAGGGTGAAACAGAGGGAGCAAGGGTGAAACAGAGGGAGCAAGGGTGAAACAGAGGGAGCAAGGGTGAAACAGAGGGAGCAAGGGTGAAACAGAGGGAGCAAGGGTGAAACAGAGGGAGCAAGGGTGAAACAGAGGGAGCAAGGGTGAAACAGAGGGAGCAAGGGTGAAACAGAGGGAGCAAGGGTGAAACAGAGGGAGCAAGGGTGAAACAGAGGGAGCAAGGGTGAAACAGAGGGAGCAAGGGTGAAACAGAGGGAGCAAGGGTGAAACAGAGGGAGCAAGGGTGAAACAGAGGGAGCAAGGGTGAAACAGAGGGAGCAAGGGTGAAACAGAGGGAGCAAGGGTGAAACAGAGGGAGCAAGGGTGAAACAGAGGGAGCAAGGGTGAAACAGAGGGAGCAAGGGTGAAACAGAGGGAGCAAGGGTGAAACAGAGGGAGCAAGGGTGAAACAGAGGGAGCAAGGGTGAAACAGAGGGAGCAAGGGTGAAACAGAGGGAGCAAGGGTGAAACAGAGGGAGCAAGGGTGAAACAGAGGGAGCAAGGGTGAAACAGAGGGAGCAAGGGTGAAACAGAGGGAGCAAGGGTGAAACAGAGGGAGCAAGGGTGAAACAGAGGGAGCAAGGGTGAAACAGAGGGAGCAAGGGTGAAACAGAGGGAGCAAGGGTGAAACAGAGGGAGCAAGGGTGAAACAGAGGGAGCAAGGGTGAAACAGAGGGAGCAAGGGTGAAACAGAGGGAGCAAGGGTGAAACAGAGGGAGCAAGGGTGAAACAGAGGGAGCAAGGGTGAAACAGAGGGAGCAAGGGTGAAACAGAGGGAGCAAGGGTGAAACAGAGGGAGCAAGGGTGAAACAGAGGGAGCAAGGGTGAAACAGAGGGAGCAAGGGTGAAACAGAGGGAGCAGGGGGAAACAGAGGGAGCAAGGGGGAAACAGAGGGAGCAAGGGTGAAACAGAGGAGCAGGGGTGAAACAGAGGGAGCAAGGGTGAAACAGAGGGAGCAAGGGTGAAACAGAGGGAGCAAGGGTGAAACAGAGGGAGCAAGGGTGAAACAGAGGGAGCAAGGGTGAAACAGAGGGAGCAAGGGTGAAACAGAGGGAGCAAGGGTGAAACAGAGGGAGCAAGGGTGAAACAGAGGGAGCAAGGGTGAAACAGAGGGAGCAAGGGTGAAACAGAGGGAGCAAGGGTGAAACAGAGGGAGCAAGGGTGAAACAGAGGGAGCAAGGGTGAAACAGAGGGAGCAAGGGTGAAACAGAGGGAGCAAGGGTGAAACAGAGGGAGCAAGGGTGAAACAGAGGGAGCAAGGGTGAAACAGAGGGAGCAAGGGTGAAACAGAGGGAGCAAGGGTGAAACAGAGGGAGCAAGGGTGAAACAGAGGGAGCAAGGGTGAAACAGAGGGAGCAAGGGTGAAACAGAGGGAGCAAGGGTGAAACAGAGGGAGCAAGGGTGAAACAGAGGGAGCAAGGGTGAAACAGAGGGAGCAAGGGTGAAACAGAGGGAGCAAGGGTGAAACAGAGGGAGCAAGGGTGAAACAGAGGGAGCAAGGGTGAAACAGAGGGAGCAAGGGTGAAACAGAGGGAGCAAGGGTGAAACAGAGGGAGCAAGGGTGAAACAGAGGGAGCAAGGGTGAAACAGAGGGAGCAAGGGTGAAACAGAGGGAGCAAGGGTGAAACAGAGGGAGCAAGGGTGAAACAGAGGGAGCAAGGGTGAAACAGAGGGAGCAAGGGTGAAACAGAGGGAGCAAGGGTGAAACAGAGGGAGCAAGGGTGAAACAGAGGGAGCAAGGGGGAACAGAGGGAGCAAGGGTGAAACAGAGGGAGCAAGGGTGAACAGAGGAGCAAGGGTGAAACAGAGGGAGCAAGGGTGAAACAGAGGGAGCAAGGGTGAAACAGAGGGAGCAAGGGTGAAACAGAGGGAGCAAGGGTGAAACAGAGGGAGCAAGGGTGAAACAGAGGGAGCAAGGGTGAAACAGAGGGAGCAAGGGTGAAACAGAGGGAGCAAGGGTGAAACAGAGGGAGCAAGGGGAAACAACAGAGGGAGCAAGGGGAAACAGAGGGAGCAAGGGGGAAACAGAGGGAGCAAGGGAAACAGAGGGAGCAAGGGTGAAACAGAGGGAGCAAGGGTGAAACAGAGGGAGCAAGGGTGAAACAGGGGGAGCAAGGGTGAAACAGGGGGAGCAAGGGTGAAACAGGGGGAGCAAGGGTGAAACAGGGGGAGCAAGGGTGAAACAGGGGGAGCAAGGGTGAAACAGGGGGAGCAAGGGTGAAACAGGGGGAGCAAGGGTGAAACAAGAGAGCAAGGGTGAAACAGGGGGAGCAAGGGTGAAACAGAGGGAGCAAGGGTGAAACAGAGGGAGCAAGGGTGAAACAGAGGGAGCAAGGGTGAAACAGAGGGAGCAAGGGTGAAACAGAGGGAGCAAGGGTGAAACAGAGGGAGCAAGGGTGAAACAGAGGGAGCAAGGGTGAAACAGAGGGAGCAAGGGTGAAACAGAGGGAGCAAGGGTGAAACAGAGGGAGCAAGGGTGAAACAGAGGGAGCAAGGGTGAAACAGAGGGAGCAAGGGTGAAACAGAGGGAGCAAGGGTGAAACAGAGGGAGCAAGGGTGAAACAGAGGGAGCAAGGGTGAAACAGAGGGAGCAAGGGTGAAACAGAGGGAGCAAGGGTGAAACAGAGGGAGCAAGGGTGAAACAGAGGGAGCAAGGGTGAAACAGAGGGAGCAAAGGGGGAAACAGAGGGAGCAAGGGGGAAACAGAGGGAGCAAGGGGGAAACAGAGGGAGCAAGGGGAAACAGAGGGAGCAAGGGGAAACAGGGGAGCAAGGGGGAAACAGAGGGAGCAAGGGGGAAACAGGGGAGCAAGGAAGGGTGAAACAGGGGAGCAAGGTGAAACAGGGGGAGCAAGGGTGAAACAGGGGGAGCAAGGGTGAAACAGGGGGAGCAAGGGTGAAACAGGGGGAGCAAGGGTGAAACAGGGGGAGCAAGGGTGAAACAGGGGGAGCAAGGGTGAAACAGGGGGAGCAAGGGTGAAACAGGGGGAGCAAGGGTGAAACAGGGGGAGCAAGGGTGAAACAGGGGGAGCAAGGGTGAAACAGGGGGAGCAAGGGTGAAACAGGGGGAGCAAGGGTGAAACAGAGGGAGCAAGGGTGAAACAGAGGGAGCAAGGGTGAAACAGAGGGAGCAAGGGTGAAACAGAGGGAGCAAGGGTGAAACAGAGGGAGCAAGGGTGAAACAGGGGGGCAAGGGTGAAACAAGAGGGAGCAAGGGTGAGCAGGAAAGGGGATGGGGGAAGCAGGGAAGGGGATGGGGGGTTAGGGAAGGGGATGCGGGGCTGGGAGGGGGACGGGGGGAAGGAGGGAAGGGGACGGGGGGAAGCAGGGAAGGGGACGGGTGGAAGCAGGGAAGGGGACGGGGGGAAGCAGGGAAGGGGAATGGGGAAGCAGGGAAGGGGATGAAGGGGAACAGGGAAGGGGTTGTGGGGAAGCAGGGAAGGGGATGGGGGGAGGCAGGGGGGAGGGGACGGGGGGAAGGAGGGAAGGGGACAAGCAGGGAAGGGGACGGGGGGGAAGCAGGGAAGGGGACGGGGGGAAGCAGGGAAGGGGAATGGGGGAAGCAGGGAAGGGGATGAAGGGGAACAGGGAAGGGTTGTGGGGAAGCAGGGAAGGGGATGGGGGGGGCAGGGGAGGGGACGGGGGAAGGAGGGAAGGGGACAAGCAGGGAAGGGGAAGGGGGGAAGCAGGGAAGGGGATGGGGGGAAGCAGGGAAGGGGAATGGGGGAAGCAGGGAAGGGATGAAGGGGAACAGGGAAGGGGTTGTGGGGGAAGCAGGGAAGGGGATGGGGGGAGGCAGGGGAGGGGACGGGGGAAGGAGGGAAGGGGACAAGCAGGGAAGGGGAAGGGGGGAAGCAGGGAAGGGGATGGGGGGAAGCAGGGAAGGGGATGGGGGGAAGCAGGGAAGGGGATGAAGGGGAACAGGGAAGGGGTTGTGGGGAAGCAGGGAAGGGGATGGGGGGAGGCAGGGGAGGGGACGCGGGGAAGGAGGGAAGGGGACGGGGGGAAGCAGGCAAGGAAGGGGGGAGACAGGGAAGGGGATGGGGGAGGCAGGGAAGGGGATGGGGGGGAGCGGAAGGCGGAGGAGCGGAACAGAGAGGGGGAGAGAGCAAGGAGAGGTGTAACGCATGAGCCCTATGGTGGCCACCTCGTTGACATCGAACATGCCCTGATGAGGGGAGGGAAGGGAGCGAATGTAGGACGCGGAGGGGGAGAGAGGGAAGGGGCTATAGGTAGATACAAAGATGAAGAGAGAAAAGGGGAGGGAGGAGAGGGAGAGCACATGGTTGAAGAGACTTGAGAGGAGGAGACTGTGTCGTGAGAGTGAGGAACTGGGAACGAGGGGAACTGGGAGAGGTAGGTACTAACAGAAAGAGAACCAGGTGTGTGTAAAATAGGACACTCACTCTGCGTGGATGGGCAGAATTCAGAACCAGCACGTCAACCCCGCACGCCCCTCCCCCACCCAACCCCACTTTCCTCTCCCCCCTCCCCCCCCCCCCTTCCCCCCCTTCCCCCCCTTCCCCCCCTCCTCACTTTCCCCTCTCCTCCCCCCCCCTTCTGCCTTCCCCCCTCCTTTCCCCCCCCCCCCCCCTCCGCACCCACCCACATTCAGGATAGACGACTCACCGGGCGCGGATGGGCGGCATTCAACTCCGCACGGCCCTTCCTCACCACGCGCCTCCTCCCCGCGGAGCACGCTTTCCGCCTGGCGCACTGCGTCGTGCAGCACGTCCGCTCCCCCCTTGAGGTCGAACGGCAGCACCACCACCCCCTCCGGCGCGTGCGTTCCGCAGCAGGAGGCGCCCACTGCCTGCAGGCGCTCCGCGGAGCGCGCGGAGAGGATCAGCCGCGCGCCCATCGCCGCGAAACGCTGCGCCAGCTCCTGGCCTGGTACGGGGAGCGGGGCAGAGTGGGGCGCGAAGAGGGGGGCGGGAGAGGGGGGAGAGGGGGGAGCGGGGACCCGGGGGAAGGGAGACGTCGCGCGGAAGGGGGTGAGGATAGAGGGAGTGAGCAGGGGGAATGGGAGTGAACAGGAGAGAAGAGAGTGAAGGGGGGAAGAGTGAGCAGGGGGGAAGAGAGAGAGAGAGAGTAGGATGGGGGAATGGAGGGGATAAAGACGAGCAATGGGAGGGGTAGAGAAGGCGACTGGCGGGGAAGCGAGGGCGACTGGAGGAGAAGCCATTGCGACGGGCGGGCAAGAGAGAATGAGCAGGAGAGAGTGAAAGGCAATGGGAGGGAAAGTGAAGGCGACGGGTGGGGAAGCAAGTGCGACAGGCGGGGGAAGAAGGCGACGAAGGCGACGGGGAGGGGAAGTGACGGCAAGGGGTGGGGGGGGGGGAGTAAGGCGACGGGAGGGGGAAAAGTGAAGGAGACAGGGGTGGGAAGTCGCGACGGGGTGGGGGAAGAGAAGGCGACGGGGGGGGGGGGGGGGGGGGGGGGGGGGGGGCTGGCGCGGGGGGGAAGTGAGGGCGACGGGGTGGGGGAAATGAAGGCCACGGGGTGGGAAAAGTGAAGGCGACGGGGGGTGGGAAGTCGCGACGGGGTGGGGGGGTGACCGCGACGGGGAAGAGCAGGCGACGGTGGGCGGGGAGTGAAGGCGCCGGGCGGAGCGTTCGCGACGGGCTGGGGTCGCGAAGGCGTCGAGCTGCGGAAATGATGGCGACGACGCGGGCGACAGAGAGCGGAAGCGTGGGACCTAGGGAAAGGAAAGGAAAGCAAGGGGAGGATCATGCTTGGACGAACGGGTGTGATTCGATTTTCGTCTGCGAGATTACGCTACGCAGTAGTTGCACAATAACCTGCTAACACTAGCTTTGCGCGTCATCATCTAAATCCGCGCCACCCACATCGTAAGGCGCATCTGAACCCTTTTGAGTGAACGCTCTCGCCCTGCCCTATCTACGAGTATGATCTATGCATCATACCATGAGTGCTATCTCAAACTGTGCACAGTTTGGTATGCACGGGCTTTTCTGGTTGTGGGAAGGACCCCACCCATCATGGGAAGCGAGAAACTTTTGTCGCAAGTTGTTTCGCGAGTTGAAAGTCTCGCGCAACCCAACCGAACCTCTCCGTGCCTGCCTCCCGAACCTAGTTTTTAGCGTTGACTTCCGTTGAGTAATTCAGGTCTTGGGCTTTAACAGTTATCACTTCTATCTGTTCCTGTGGATCATACTCTTAGCTGCCATTGCCAATCTCCTTCGTTCACCGCAATTCACACGCCGTTTCTCCCAGATTTCTGCCTTGGGTCCAAACTTCGACGGCGATTTAAATCCTTCCGTGGTTTGCCGAAACACTCCAACATTTTCTCCATAGTTTTCCTCATTATCGTATTTATTCACTGCCGCCCCCTCGCGTGTCCTTATTCAAGTTGAGCCACAGTCCGTCCGAAATTACTCTCCCTAGGAAAATGAAGAACTTTTTCGGAAAATGTTCGGCATTCGCAACGGCCGTGCTCCTGCAGGGACAGCAGAACCAGCGGAAGCAGCAGAAGCAGAACCAGCTTCAAACTTAGCTGGAGCAGGAGCAGAAGCAGAAGCAAGCAGCTGCAGCTGCTGCTGCAGCAGCAATGGATCAAGCGCCATACAGTAAGGATCGGTCCAACAATAGCCGACCACCACTTACCAATCACTAGCAAGCTCTGCATTGCGTCCTGCAGTCATGCTGTGATGCAATCATGCTGCCATGCAGTCATGCAGTCATGCTGTCATGCGGTCATGCAGTCATGCAGTCATGCTGTCATGCTGTCATGTTGCATGCTGTCATGCTGTCATGCTGTCATGCTGCCACGCTGCAATGCTGCATGCTGCCATGCTAATGCATGAGCGGGCACGACTAAAGTTTTGGAAGCGCAGTAAGGGCAGCACACGGCCACGGTGGCGTGGCTGGTGTGGTGTGGGTGCAGGACGTTTGAGTCGACCCGAACGCTCCTTCCGCTCGCACTCCCCTGGCACCCGCGTCCCCTCAGGCACACGAGCGGGCCCGACCAAAGTGGTGGAAGCGCGGGAAGGGCGGCACATGGCCACGGTGGTGTGGCTGCATGGGCTGGGGACAGCGGCAATGGCATCTCGAATTGGCTGAATATGGTGTGGGAGTCTGTGGGTGAAAAGGAGGGCGGCCTTTTACTCGACCTCCCACACGTACGTTGAGCAACTGTTGTTGAGTCAACACCGGTTATGGGTGCTTGCATTGGCTGCACGGGCTGGGGGACAGTCCAACTGGCTAAATATCGTGTGGGATTCTGTGGCTGAACATGGCGGCGGCCATTTACTCGACCTCCCACACGTACGGTTATGGGTGCTTGCATTGGCTGCATGGGTCGGGTGGGGTGGGGTGGGGTGGGGTGCGATGAGATGGCGTGTGGAATACTGAGAGCTGGCGTGAGAGTGCGTAAAGCCACTGATCCTATGCGGCGGCTACGTGTGTCTGTTGCTGTTGGAAAAAAGAGTGAGTGGCATATTTAAACTAGACCTCCCTCCTGTATGGGCAACTGGCTGTCGAGTCGACACAGGCGATGGGTGCTTGCAATGGCTGCCAGGGGTGGCTGGGGTTGGGTGGGGGGAGTACCTGAGTACAGGGGCTTTTACTCGACCTCCCTGTGTTGTAGGTTGATTTTGTGAATTCTTGGAATTCTCTGAATTCTGGGAATTCCGTGAATTTTGAGACTGCCAAAATCACCCAACAATGGAGGCGTCTCCATGCGGATTGGATTGGACGTTTCGTTTCCCAGCGCCTGTAGTGACGATTTTTTTTAGCACTTCAGATCCATGGTTCACCTCGCCTCACCTCACCTCACCTCGCCTCACCTCACCTCGCCTCACCTCGCCTCATCTCCTCCCCACATTCCCTTGGTGCAGGTCAAGTGGATATTCACCAGCGCACCTGGAAATCATGTCTGAGGCGCCTAAAAATACCCACCGCCTTTCTTTCCGCACCTCATCTCCTCCCCACACTCACCGCATTCCCGTGTGGCAGGTCAAGTGGATATTCCCCAGCGCCCCTAGAGCTCCCGTCTCTGTCAACCGCGGCCATCGCTCCCCTTCCTGTGAGTCCCTCACGTGCCCTTCTTGTGAGTTACTCAGGTGGCCTTTCTTTGAGCTGGTTTTCTTAAATGTCTTTAAGATCGGCCCCTGTCTCAGTCAACCGCGGCCATCGCGCCCCTTCCTGTGAGTCCCTCATGTCCCCTTTCTGTGAGTGACTCACATGCCCTTCGTGTGAGCCGTGCACTCAGCTCAAGACGCCGTCAGATCAGAGGTGTCTTAGTATAGTCGCCCACCCACCCACCCAGTTTCTTCTCCCATCTATGCCCCTCCGCCCCTCATCCATCCCTCATCCATCCCTCATCCATCCCTCATCCATCCCTCATCCATCCCTCATCCATCCCTCATCCATCCCTCATCCATCCCTCATCCATCCCTCATCCATCCCTCATCGTACTTGCCCCTCTCCTCCGCCCTATCCAGGGTACGACATCCATGGTTTCAACGCCGATGCCTCCCGTGGATGCCGCGGGCCTCGATGAGGCTGCCAGATACATTGCTGGGATTCTCCAGGAGGAGAGAAGGGCAAATCCTGGTGGGTGCTGTGCTGTGCTGTACTGATTGGGTGAGTAGCAACAGGGTTAGGGGTGTGAAAAGAATTAATGCGGCTGCGAGATAAGTGGGTCGGATCAGCCGGGGGGTGCGGGCGCTCTTTCCTCCCTATCCCTTCCAATTTCCTGGTAGCTTTTTATTGAAGTGGCCCCAATTTATTGTTTCCCCCTCCCTCTCGCCCTCACCAGACGTCATGTATAGAGTGGGTGGGAACAGCCGTGGGAGCGCATACTGGTACCTCGTATTGAGGTGCCTTTAATCGAATCCTTCTTTCTCCCTCCTTCTCGGCCTTACCAGACGTCAGGTATACAGTGGGTGGGATCAGTCAAGGGAGCGCTCGCTCCTCTCTTTTATTGAGTCGCCTTATATTGAACCCCTTTTTTTTTTCCCTCCTGCCCTGTTTCCCTCACTCACCAGACGTCACGTATATAGTGGGACGGTTCAGCCAAGGGAGCGCTTTTTCCCCTCTTTCAATAAGTCACCTTATGTTGAGCCCCTCCTTTTTCTCTGCCCCCCTCTTTCGCTCACCCACCAGACGTCACGTATATAGTGGGAGGGATCAGCCAAGGGAGCTCTCTCTCCCTCACTCACCTTAACCGATGTTATTCTTTTCCTCTTCCCCCTCTTTCCCTCACCCACCAGACGTCACGTACATAGTGGGAGGCATCAGCCAAGGGGGCAGACTCTCCCTCTACCTCATGTGCCGGAAGGCGCTGGGAAGCTTCGCGGATGGTTCCGATGCCTCCGCTCTGCCTTTCATTGCCTCCATTGGCCTCAGCACGTGGCTGCCCAAGTGCAGGTGGGGTCTCGGGAAGGTGTTATTTGGAGGGGCAGGATCTGCAAAAGTTAGGTATTTTCTTCTTCGCCTCCTTTTTCCTCCGCTGCTTTGAGTGGCCGCCTGCCCAAGTGCAGGTGGAAGGAAGGTGTTATCTTGTCCCACCCACCGATGATCAGTCCATGGTTCCCACTTTCCTCCCTTCACAGTCTAACTCCGGGACCTGGGGGTCTTTGAGGCGCTTCAAAAGTAATTTCCGGACCTGGGAGAACGGGAGCTGCTGGTGCTGAGAGGACTGCCTTGCGATGCAAGTCGACTCAAAGATAAATCCACGGGTTCCCCCTTTCCTCGTCCTTTCCTCTCCTATCCCCCCCCTTTCCTCTCCTATACCTCCCCCTTTCCTCTCCTACCCCCCCCCCTTTCCTCTCCTACCCCCCCCCCTTTCCTCTCCTACACCCCCCCCACCTCCACAGTCTGATTCCGGCACCTGGAGAAACGGATGCTATTGTTGCAGAGAGAGCTGCGAGGCATCCTGTATTCATGGCGCATGGGGAAGGTACGGTGCGGGCGGGGGGGGGGGGGGGGGAGTGGGGGGGAAGGGTGACATTAGCTTAGTGAAGTCAACTAGCTGTTGCAGAGAGAGCTGCGAGGCATCCTGTATTCATGGCCCATGGGGAAGGTACGGTGTGGGCGGAGAGGGGGGGGGGAGAGGGTGGCATTAGCTCAGTGAAGTCAACTTAATCACAGCTGTTGCAGAGAGGGCTGCGAGGCATCCTCTGTTCATGACACATGGACTGTGCTGTGCAGGAGCGGAGGGTGTCGTGTGTTATGGGGACATTTCATAATCGATTAAAGAAAACAGTTTCTGCAGAGAGGGCTGCCAAGCATCCGCTGCTAGTGATGCATGGGGAAGGTACTGTAAGGAGGGGAGGGGAGGGGAGGGGAGGGGAGGGGAGGGGAGGGGAGGGGAGGGGAGGGGAGGGGAGGGGAGGGGAGGGGAGGGGAGGGGAGGGTGGGGAAGGGAAGGGAAGGTGGCATGTGCTTTACGAACATCTCCTGCAAGCGGTCTCCTGAGTAAGAGGTGATTCAAAAGGTGTTTAAATCGATTCAAAATGAATGCGCTTTAGGAACATTCCTTCCACGCCGTCGCCTGAGTAAGAAGAACGGATGAGTGGTTAGAAAATTTCCCTTCTTTTGTGTACTACTAGCTTTTGTGCCGCCTTTTGTGTCTTGGCTGGGGCAAGGACTACGAGATGGCTTTTGCATTGACTGTTGACTCACAAGGTGTCTTTTGACTGGACCAAAAAGTCATCCCGTTGACTTCTTTCATGTGCGTGTGCGTGTGCAGTTGACCCCCTCGTGGGCTACGCCTGGGGCAGGGACTGCTCTGACCTGCTCTGACCTGCTCCCTGTGCTGGCTCCATTTCGTACGTGTGCTTGTGCGTGTGCAGTTGACCCCCTCATTGCCTACGCCTTGGGCAGGGCCAGCTCTGACCTGCTGCGCGATGCTGGCTTCTCCAACGTCACCTTCAACTCGTATCCCAAGTAAGGCTCTGTTGCTGTAAATGAAACGTTTGGTTTAGGGGAAGATGGTTAAGTCAAGCCAGGCAGCAATCTCATGCATTCTTAGTCGACACAATAACGGTTATTCCACCACTGGCTGTATTTTTCGTTAAGAGCCCCTTGAAAAAACATTTTTTAGCGTTTGCGCACGCCATGTGCCGTGAGGGGCTGGCGGTTATGTCCGATTGAACCCCGGTTGTAACCCCAACCCCGGTCATACTGTAGTATGTCTCGTTTTGTGTCGACTCAACACAACCCCATATACGGTACAGTATGTCTCAAAAACACATCTTGGTGCCTTCCCCATTGCCCTACAGCCTGGCACACGCCATGTGCGGTGAGGAGCTGGCGGATATGAGAGCGTGGCTGCTGCAGCACGCCCCTCTTCCAGCTTGACCTCCTGGCTGCTGTTTCACAGCACCCGCTTTCGTGGGAAGCAGCACCCGCTTTCATGGGAAGCAGCACCCGCTTTACTGCACCCTCTTCCCGCAATTATGGAAAGCATTCACTAACACTAACACCACCCGCTTGACCCCCTGCCTGCTGCTTTACGGCACCTGCTTTCATCGGAAGCATTTACTGGCACCACCATCTTGGACTCCTGCCTGCTGATTGAGTCAATTCAAGCAAAGCACGTCCCTCCAAGCAGCTCTTCATGTTTTCTAGTCGACTTTCCCCCTCGAGAAGAGCAGCTGCCACCGCCCTCTTCATCCCCTGCCTCCCCGTCTGCTGTACATTGTGCCACTCACATTCCTTTGAGAATTGTGGGTTATGTTTTTCTTGGTGGAAGGCATTTGGGCGATTTTTTTCAGTCGAGCTTGGAGCAGAAGCACCTCCCCACCGCACACAGCCCATTAGATCTCCTGTCCAATGGCCAATTTGAACGCTCTACTAATGTTTATATCCTGTTAGGAAGGTACATGCTTTGATGTTGGGAAAAGTAAGCTGCACAGGACACATGTATTGAGCTTTTATATTGACAACATGCAATAACTGTTTTATGTCCGTTGGTCATTTTCTGATACAGTAGTGTTGGTCCATTGTTCCTCGCTTCGTAAGACTAAGCAAGCTCCGTGACTGGCCCGATGGAGACCATTCGGACCTGCCTGTTTGTCATCGCACATCATCGTCATCGTCGCAAACATCTGTCGAAACCAGTCGTGATGTGAAGAGTGTCCTTGCGAATGTCGCAACAAATTCGCGACCAGTCAGACGAGTCGGTGCCTGGATTAGATCATGGTCCGAGTCCCCCGCCCAGACTTCCCCACCCCCCTTGCTTCTCCTGCAGCTCACTCACGCTCGTTGCTGCCACTTCCTCTTTCCTTCATTTACCCTAATTTTCACGCCACTTGTCCCTTCGTTCCGCCATGATGCCGGATAAAGTCCTTTCGTGGTTTGTCGAAACAATCCAACATTTTTCTCAAGTCTTATTTATCCACTGGCCGCTTGCGTATCCTTCCCATAAACCATAGTAACATCTGTCCGAAATACTCTCTCGAAGAGGTTCGGTAATCTAATCCGGAGAATGTTCGGCACTCGCAACGATCGTGGTGAGATGACTTCCAGTCCCGCAACCGCAGAGAGGATTTTTGAGGCGCCTAAAAAATTGGCTTCCAGTAACGCACCCGCAGAGGGCCGAGCTCCTGTAGGAACGGCAGAACCAGCAGCAGCGGCAACACGTGCAGGAGCGGAAGCAGGAGCGGAAGCAGCTGCGGCAGCAGCAGCAGGAGCAGGAGCAGCAACGGATCAATCGCCATTCAGTAAGGATTTCTCCACCAATACCCGACCACCACTAACCAATCATCAGCAAGCTTTTCACTGCCTTCTCTCCCCAATCGCTGTATCCCTGCCGCTCCCTCCTTTCTTCTCATCCTGCTAGCTATTTGTTAGACCATTTTTTACTCCCCACTTCAAACACTTTCCCCCAGGCGCACCAGCGGGGAGAACCCAAGTGTTGCCGGCGCAGGAAGCGCAGCGCGCGGCCACTGTGCTGTGCTGTGCTGTGGCTGGTATGGGTGCTGCTGTACGTCTGAGACGTGTTTTGAGTCGACTCAAAACACGACTCATCTAAAGGGCAGCGCGCGGCCACTGTGCTGTGCTGTGCTGTGCTGTGCTGTGGTGTGCTGTGCGGTGCTGTGCTGTGCTGTGCTGTGCTGTGCCTGGTATGGGTGCTGCTGCTGGACGTCTGACCCGAATGCCCACTTCGTTTCGCGCTCCCCTGGCACCCACGTCCCCCCAGGCACACGAGCGGGCCCGACGAAAGTGGTGGAAGCGCGGGAAGGGCGGCACACGGCCACGATGGTGTGGCTGCATGGGCTGGGGGACAGCGGCAATGGCATCTCCAATTGGCTGAATATGGTGTGGATTTCTGTGGCTGAAAAGGAGGGCGGCCTTTTACTCGACCTCCCACACGTACGTACTGCTGTGGGTGCTTGCATTGACTGAATGGGGTGGGGCGGGGTGGGGTGGGTTGGGGTGAGATGGCGTGTGGAATACTGAGAGCTGGCGTGAGAGTGCGTAAAACTTTTACCTGAGAACGGGGGGGTACCCATTTACTCGACCTCCCTGTGTTGTAGGTTGATTTTGTGAATTCTGCGAATTCGTGAATTCTCTGAAATCCGTGCATTCCCAGAATTATGTGAATCCTGGGAATTCCGTGAGTTCTGTGACTTCCGGGAATTCTCGAAATCACCCAACAATGGAGGCTTCTCCATGCGCATTGGATTGGACGTTTCGTTTCCCAGCGCCTGTAGCGACGATTTTCCGATCGCTTCAGATCCATGGTTCACCTCGCCTCGCCTCGCCTCGCCTCACCTCACTCCATCTCGCCTCATCTCCTCCCCACATTCCCTTTGGGCAGGTCAAGTGGATATTCCTCAGCGCCCCTAGAGCCCCCGTCTGAGGCGCCTAAGAAGTCTCACGCATCCACCGCACCTCATCTCCTCCCCACACTCACCGCATTCCCGTGTGGCAGGTCAAGTGGATATTCCCCACCGCCCCTAGAGCTCCCGTCTCTGTCAACCGCGGCCATCGCGCCCCTTCCTGTGAGCCCGTCATGCCCCTTCCTGTGAGTCCCTCATGCCCCTTCCTGTGAGTCCCTCATGCCCCTTCCCGTGAGTCCCTCATGCCCCTTCCCGTGAGTCCCTCATGCCCCTTCCCGTGAGTCCCTCATGCCCCTTCCCGTGAGTCCCTCATGCCCCTTCCTGTGAGTCCCTCATGCCCCTTCCTGTGAGTCCCTCATGCCCCCTTTCTGTGAGTGACTCACATGCCCTTCGTGTGAGCTGTGCACTCAGCACATAACATTGTCAGGTCAGAGGTGTCTTATTGTAGTCGCCTACCCACCTGCGCACTTCTTATTCCCCAATCCCATCTATGCCCCTCCACTCCTCACCTGTCCTCCATCCATCTCTCCTATTCAGAGTTGTCGACATATCTTGGGCTTCAACGCAATGTTTCTGTTGATATATTTGAAGTACTTGCATAAGTCGTCTCGTTTGTGCATAACCCTACAACCCTCATCCACCCGTCATCCATCCCACTCCCCATAAATCCCTCATGCATCCCTCATCCATCCCTCATCTATCCCACACCCATCCCTCACCCATACCTCATCCATCCCCCATCCATCCCTGATGCATCTCTCTTCCCTCCCCCCTATATCCAGGGTACGACATCCATGGTTTCAACGCCGATGCTCCCGTGGATGCCACGGGCCTCGACGAGGCTGCCAGATACATTGCTGGGATTCTGGAGGAGGAGAGAAGGGCGCATCCTGGTGGGTGGATTTCTGTGCTGTGCTGATTGGGTGAGTAGCAACAGGGCTAGGTCTGAAAAGCATTGATGCGGCTGCGAGATAAGTGGGTCAGATCCCACCCTCTTTCTTGAGCCTCACCAGACGTCACATATTCGGTGGGTGGGATCAGCCAAGGGAGCGCTCGCTCCTCTCTTGTATTAAGTTGCGTTGTATTGAACCCTTTTTTCTTTTTCCCTCCCGCCATCTTGCCCTCACTCACCCACCAGACGTCACGTACATAGTGGGAGGGATCAGCCAAGGGGGCTCTCTCTCCCTCTACCTCATGTGCCGGAAGGCGCTGGGAAGCTTCGCGGATGGTTCCGACGCCTCCGCTCTGCCTTTCATTGCCTCCATTGGCCTCAGCACGTGGCTGCCCAAGTGCAGGTGGGGTCTGGGGGAGGTGTTATTTGAAGGGGTAGGATCTGGGTTATGCACGTGGTCTGTCTGTGCCCTACTTTGCCTGCATTGGCATGAGCACGTGGCTGGCCAAGTGCAGGTGGGGTCTGGGGGAGGTGTTATCTAAAGAGGTAGGATCTGCAAAAGTTGGGCAGTTTCTTCTTTGCGTCTCTCTTCAACCACTGCTGTGACTTTTGAGACGACTCAAAAGTCGGTAGTTTCTTCTTTGCGTCTCTCTTCAACCACTGCTTCGAGCGGCTGCCTGCCCAAGTGCGAGTGGAAGGAAGGTGTTGTCTTGTCCCAACGATGAATCTGTGGTTCCCCCTTTCCTCCCCTTTTCCTCTCTCCTATACCTCCCCCCACCTTCACAGTCTGATTCCGGGACCTGGGGGAACAAGAGCTGCTGTTGCCGAGAGGCCTGCCTTGCGGTTGCGGAGAGGACTCAAATATAAGTCCGCGGTTCCCCCTTTCCTCCCCCTTTCCTCTCGTATACCTCCCCCTTTCCTCTCCTATACCTCCCCCACCTCCACAGTTTGATTTCGGCACCTGGAGAAACGGATGCAGCTGTTGCAGAGAGAGCTGCGAGGCATCCTGTATTCATTGCACATGGGGAAGGTACGGTGCAGGGGGGCATGACGCATGGGGAAGGTATGGTGCAGGGGGGGGAAAGGAAGGCATTAGCTTTTCGAGTCAACTTAATTACAGCCATTGCAGAGCTGGCTGCGAGGCGTCCACTGTTCATGACGCATGGGGAAGGTACGGTGCATGAGGGCATGACGCATGGGGAAGGTATGGTGCGGGAGCGGAGGGTAGAATATGCTATGGGGGCACTTTCATCGATCCAAGAAAACAGTTGCTGCAGTGAGTGCTGCGAAGCATCCGCTGCTCATGATGCATGGGGAAGGTAGTGTGTGGCACGGAGGGGAAGGGAAGGGTGGGGAGGGGAGGGGAGGGGAGGGGAGGGGAGGGGAGGGGAGGGGAGGGGAGGGGAGGGGAGGGGAGGGGAGGGGAGGGGAGGGGAGGGGAGGGGAGAGGAGGGTGGCATCTGCTTTAGGAGCATCCATTCCAAGCCGTTAGCCCGAGTAAGAGGGACGGATGGGTGGTTGGAAAATTTCCCTTCTATTGTGTTCTACTAGCTTTTGTGCCACTTTTTTTTTTCCTGGCTGGGGCAAGGACTGCGAGATGACTTTTGCATTGACTGGAAAGTCATCTCGTTGACTTCTCACAAGGTGACATTTGATTGGACCAAAAAGTCTTCTTGTTGACTTCTTTCATGTGCTGACGTGTGCAGTTGACCCCTTGGTGGGATAGGGTGGGGCGAGGATTGCTCTGGCCTGAGGCACCTTGAGGCACCTTGAGGCACCTTGAGGCACCTTGAGGCACCTTGAGGCACCGTGCTGGCTTCTTGAGGCGCCTTGTGTGCTGTTAACACGAGCTGGAGAAGCTCGAGTTGAATGCCATGTGTGCTGTGCGTGTGCGTGTGCATGTGCGTGTGCATGTGCGTGTGCATGTGCGTGTGCATGTGCGTGTGCGTGTGCGTGTGCATGTGCGTGTGCGTGTGCATGTGCGTGTGCATGTGCGTGTGCATGTGCGTGTGCGTGTGCATGTGCATGTGCATGTGCATGTGCGTGTGCGTGTGCATGTGCGTGTGCGTGTGCGTGTGCATGTGCATGTGCATGTGCGTGTGCATGTGCGTGTGCGTGTGCATGTGCGTGTGCGTGTGCATGTGCGTGTGCGTGTGCATGTGCGTGTGCGTGTGCATGTGCGTGTGCGTGTGCATGTGCGTGTGCGTGTGCATTTGACCCCCTTGTGGGCTACGCCTGGGGCAAGGACTGCAAGGTGCCTTTTGGCTTGTGCGTGTGCAGGGACTGCAAGGGACCAAAAAGTCATCTTGTTGAATTCTTTCTTGGCTTGTGCGTGTGCAGTTGACATCCGGGTGGACTACGCCTGGGGCAGGGAATGCTCTCAAGTGCTGCGCAATGCTGGCTTCTCCAACGTCACCTTCAACTCGTATCCCAAGTAAGGCTCTGTAACACAAGCCAGGCAGCAATCTCATGCATTCTTAGTCAACACAAGAACGGTTATTCCACCGTGACTGGCTGAATTTTTTGTTGAGAGCCTCTTGAAAAAACATTTTTAGATTTCCCCTGTTGAGCTACAGACTTGCGCACGCCATGTGCCGTGAGGGGCTGGCGGATATGTCCAATTGAACCCCAGATACAGTATGTCTCGTTTTGAGTCGACTCAAAACACAACCCCAGATACATTATGTCTTAAAAACACTTGTTGTTGCCATCCCCGTTGCCCTACAGCCTGGGACACGGAATGTGCGGTGAGGAGCTGACGGATATGAGAGCGTGGCTGCTGCAGCACGCGCCTCTTCCCGCTTGACCTCCTGCCTGCTGCTGCTTCACAGCACCACACCCGCTTTCATGGGAAGTGTTTACGGTAGTACTAACACCACCCGCTTTCATGGGAAGCATTTACTAACACCACCCGCTTGGACTCCTGCTTGCTGATTGAGTCGATTCAAGAAGGCACACTGAAGCCAAGGCGTGCCTGGAGCAGAAGCACCTCCAACCGCACATAACCCATTAGATCTCCTGATGCCCTGCTGAAAAACTCTGTTAGTATGTATGTGTATCCTGCTTAAAAATATTGTATTTTCATGCTTGGGCATTGGTGTTGCACAGATGTAACAACAATGTTCTGAGATTTCAGTAGAGTAAGGTAGAAGGTGCACCACACATGTAACGAATGTTACTGTCCGTGGTCCATTCTCTAAGGACGTGGTGCAGAACGGGTCCAGACCCGGTGCACCGAGGCGTCCCGGGGCACCCCAGCTTGCCCCGTGGCACGCGTCTTGATTTCGGGTTTCCTTCCAAGAGCTGAGTTCGAGCCTTCGACCAGCAATGGGCGAAAGCGAAAGACTTTGATGCAAATTTCGGCCAGGAATGTCTACATGGTGAATTTCGCCAGAATGTTAGCTAAACAAATCTCGCAATTGATCCCTCCCAAGAAGAAGTCGCAATCATCGAAAAATTTCGTCGAGATCCTCGCGCGACAATTTAGCTAGTAATGTCAAATGTTGTAGCCTGTAGTGAGGTTTGTCTTAGGGGGTACAAAACTTAGGGTTAGCTATATGTACCCCAACCAACATCAATGCACCATCCATTCTTCATTCTGACATGGTATCAGTTAGGTTAGGATCCTGTGGGATCCCGTTCCTCCGTTCTCCGTTCGAGCCTCCCGAGCCTGATCCTAGCTCTCATTCGTCCCGGTTCCGTTGTTACCGCGCGTAGTGCCGCGCCTAGCGCCACTCCTAGCGTCGCGCCCTTTTCCCCCCGTCGCGTCGCGCTCTTTCCCCCCGTCGCGTCGCGCCCTTTCCCCCCAGTCGAGTCGCGCCCTTTTCCCCCGTCCCGTCGCCCTGCCCCGTCCCGTCCCGTCTCCCCGTCCCGTCGCCCTGTCCCGTCTCCCCGTCCCGTCTCCCCGTCCCGTCGCCCTGCCCCGTCCCGTCCCGTCTCCCCGTCCCGTCGCCCTGTCCCGTCTCCCCGTCCCGTCTCCCCGTCCCGTCGCCCTGCCCCGTCCCGTCCCGTCTCCCCGTCCCGTCGCCCTGTCCCGTCTCCCCGTCCCGTCTCCCAGTCCCGTCGCCCTGCCCCGTCCCGTCCCGTCTCCCCGTCCCGTCGCCCTGTCCCGTCTCCCCGTCCCGTCTCCCCGTCCCGTCGCCCTGCCCCGTCCCGTCCCGTCTCCTCGTCGCGTCGCCCTGCCCCGTCCCGTCGCCCTGCCCCGTCCCGTCGCCCTGCCCCGTCCCGTCGCCCTGCCCCGTCGCGTCGCCCTGCCCCGTCGCGTCGCCCTTCCCCGTCCCGTCGCCTCTGCTCCGTCGCGTCGCCCTGCCCCGTCGCGTCGCCCTGCCCCGTCGCATCGCGCCCGCCCTTTCCCCCGTCCCGTCGCCCTAGCCCGTTCTTCCGCTGCGACTAAGTCCCCCCACCTGAACCCTAATTTGCCTCTTACCTCCTGCTGTTACTCGCCTGCTCGTTCGCGTTAGTTCTCGCTATGGCGACTCCGCGAGTTCTTCGTTTCGACGCTGACGGTAGACCTCTTGACTTTTCCGTCTGGCTTCTTCGCGCTCGCCGTCTGTTAGAGAGTCAAGTCCAGGGGGGCGAGACCCTCTGGTCGCACGCTACTGGTGACCTCCCCGAGCCCCCCGAGCCTGCCGCCCCTGACGATGCTGCTACGGCTCGCTTTGCCCGTCAGCGCGCTGACAGGACGGCTTGGACGTCGCGTGACGCTGCGGCCTGCATCGCACTCAGCAGCCTCCTCCCTGAGTCCGAGGAGGTCCACTTCACTCAGGTTCGCACCGCTGCTGCGTACCTCACTGCGATTAAGGCCCGCTACTCTACTCCCGCTACTGTCTCTCTTGGCCGTCTTTTCCTCCCGTTCCTGTTTCCTGATCTCGCCTCGTTTGAGCGCTCTGCTGACTTGATCGCTCACCTCCGCTCGCTCGACGCTAGTTACCGCGCTGCTTGCACTGAGGCACAGCTTGCACTGCTTCCTCCCCCTATGGCGATCACTATCTATTTCATCGCCACTAGCCTCCCTGACCGCCTTGCTTCCGTTCGCGACGCGCTTCTGCTGAAGCACCCTAGTGAGCTCACCGTCGATGTCCTTGAGTCTGCACTCAAGGACGTCGAGAGCAACCTTCGCTCGGTAGCCGCTGCCTCTGGTGCTGTGCCCCCCCCACTCTTCCACGGGTGCACAGTCCCGCAGTTACCCACCTTTACTGCCTCACTTGCCACTGCCGCTACTGACGCGACTGCAGCTGCTGTTACGACTGCGTCGCGGTCCCGCGGTAGGAGTGGCAAGAAAGGCGGTTCTGGTGGTGGTAGTGGAGGTGGAGGCGGAGGTAGTGGAGGTGGCGTTGCGCCTGGCGGCGGTGGAGGTTCAGGGCCTGGAGAGGCGCCTCGTGCAGTGACTGGTGACTCCACTGCGCCTGCTAGTGGTGGCGACGCCCGAGTTCGTCAGTCGCCTCCTGTACTTCCTGCCCCGGTTGGTGGAGCAGCGGCGTGGTACCAGGCTCAGCGTCAGCAGCAGCTTCTGCAGCAGCAGCAGCCCCTCTCCTCCCAGCAGCCTCAGCAGCAGCAGCGGCAGCAGCTGGCTCCAGGGTCGGGGCTGCGTCAGACCCAGCGCGGTGCTACTTCCACTCCCTGCACCTACCAGGTTCTGACAGGCCCTCGTCGTGGCCACCCTTGTGGCCGGTTTCACCCCCCTGGTCAGTGCTTTGCTCAGCTCACTGACACGGTTCGTTTGGTCTACGGGGTGGGTGCTCCTGCCCCTGACTGGCTGCCTCTTGTTCAGCGCTACGGCTCCGCTCTGTGGGGCATGTCTGCTGAGCAGTTAGTGGATCTGATTGGTACTCCCCATGCTATGTATGCTGTTGTTGACTCTAGTGTTTCTGACTCTGCTTACTCTGGTGTTGTTAGCTTAGGTGCTAGCCTTGCTCAGTTGCCTGTTGCTAGTGTAGGTTCTTGTGTAGACTCTAGTCCAGCGGCTACCTCAGAGGACGGTTCGCTGTCGTTCACGCTGGACTCTGGAGCCTCTCACTGCTTCTTTCGTGACAGCACGACACTTACGCCTCTTCCTGCGCCTGTTTCTGTGGCGCTGGCTGATCCCACTTCGGGACCAGTCACCGCGCGTCACACTACCACCTTGCCGTGTCCGGCTGCTCCTTCTGGGTCTCTCACTGGGTTTCACGTCCCCTCGTTCTCCCGGAACTTGGTGGGCGTGCGACCCCTCGTGAGTCAGCACGTGGGTGTGTGGTTTGAGCCTTCTGGAGAGACTGCGGTGTGTGTTGACGGGGACTCTTACCAGCCCCTCGCCACTTTTGCTGCTGAGCCGGGCTCCGGTCTCTACACTCTTCACACTCGCCCTTGCGCTCAGCAGCGACTGCAGCAGCAGCAGCAGCAGCAGCAGCAGCCGCAGCAGCAGCAGCGGCAGCAGCCGCAGCCGCAGCCACAGCGGCCGCCGTCGCAGCTGCCACTCCTCCCAGTTCCTGTCCCTCCCCCTAGTCTCCTCCCTGCGTCTCACCAGGTGGTTCCGTCCCCTCAGGTTGTCGCGTCCAGTCCAGTCGCTGCGTCTTGCTCCTGTCGGTCGCTTGCCCACCCCACCGTTCTGTGGCACCACCGGATGGGACACCCTTCTCTTCCACGTCTGCGTGCTATGTCTAGTCAGCGTCTGGTCTTAGGTCTCCCGCGTGTCTTGCCGTCGCTGCCGCCGTCCCTTGCACCACCGTGCGGTCCTTGCGTCGAGGGTAGGCTGCGTGCCACCCCTCACTCCTCCTCCCTTCGTCCGGCCACCGAGCCTTTTGAGACGCTGCACTTGGACGTCTGGGGCCCCTCTCCTCGCCCTGGCCCTGAGCGTGAGCGTTTCTTTTTGGTGGTCGTTGACGACTACTCCCGCTACACCACAGTGTTCCCCCTGGCGAGGAAGTCTGAGGTGACTTCTACGCTGATCAGGTGGTTGCTTACCACCCAGGACACTCGTGGTCGTCGTGTCAGCTGTCTCCACTCCGACCGCGGGGGCGAGTTTCGCTCCGGCATTCTCGCTGGATTCTGTCGCGAACAGGGCATTCGTCAGTCCTGGACGCTTCCGGAGTCCCCACAGCAGAATGGGGTTGCTGAGCGTCGCATAGGCCTGGTCATGGAGATTGCCCGCACCTCCTTGACTCACGCCCGTGCCCCCCATTTCCTGTGGCCATACGCAGTCAGGTACGCCGCGCACCAGCTGAACCTCTGGCCACGCGTCTCTCGGCCGGAGGCTTCACCGACCAGTCTTTGGACAGGGTCCCCTGGTGTCGCGTCGAGGTTTCGTGTCTGGGGGTGCTTGGCTCTTGTCCGCGACACCTCCGCGGACAAGCTCTCGCCTCGCGCCGTTCCTTGTGTCTTCCTTGGTTTCCCTGAGGACTCCTCTGACTTCACCTTTTACCACCCTCCCTCTCACCGGTTCTTTGACTCCCGTGACGTCCGTTTCGAGGAGTCCACCCCGTACTACGTCAGGTACCCCAGTCGAGGTCTCCCGGTTCCTCCTCCCCCCCTCTTCCTGACAGCCGCTCCCCCGCCTGCTCCCCCGGTACAGCCTCCCCCCCCTGGTCCAGCCCCGTCTGGTGTGTCTCAGGCTAGCCCTCCCCCTTCGGTAGCCCCCCCTGTACAGCCTCCCTCCCCACAGTCTTCCTCACCGCCTCCTGTAGGTGCTCCCTCTCGGGAGGTTGGTCCTACGACTGTCCCTGTATAGGCCTCTGGTTCTGGGGGTGCTGGAGTTGGAGCTGAGCCGCGGGTTGCAGAGGACTCTTCTCCTCCGGGGGCTGGTACTGGTCGTGCGGAGTCTGGGGGTGCTGGTGCTGCGTCTGGGGGTGAGGGTGTTCCTTCGGTTTCTGGAGAGCCTGGGTCTGGAGCTGGTGTTGGTGCTGCCTCTGGGGGTGGTGTGCTTGGTGCTTCGGAGGTCGACTCTGGGGCTGCCGCTGCCCCGGACACTACTCCTTCCCCCCACCCCTACCCGACCAGGTTCCAGGCTCGTGTTCGTCGTGCTCGTGAGGAGCAGCTGGAGTTGGAGAGAGAGGAGAGAGAGTTGCAGCGGCTCGAGGAGCAGGAGCGACAGCAGCAGGAGCAGCAGCAGGAGCAGCAGCAGGGGCAGCAGCCGCTGGAGCAGCAGCAGCCGCAGCAGCCACAGCAGCCGCAGCAGCAGCAGCTGCCGTCTCCTCCTCCTGTCTCGGGTCTTCGGACCCTTGGTCTCCCCTCTCCCTCTCCTTCCTCCTCCCCCTCTCCTCCCGTCTCTGGTCCTCCGCTTCCTCCTCCTGACCCCTCTCCCGCTGTTTTCCCTCGTTCTCAGTCTTCGTTGTCCCCTCCTCCTTCTCAGACTTGGGCCTCTCGTCGCTCCCCTCGTGCTCGTCCCTCGTCTCCTGTTCCCTTCACTGACCTTCGTACTGCCTTACTTCGTTCTAGTCCACCTCGTCCGTCTCCGTCTGTGCTTCCGTCTCCTCCTGAGTCGGCTCTCACTGCGTCGCTCCCTACTCCTGTCACTGACTACTACCGCACGTACCGTCCTCTTCTCTCTCGTGTTCTCGCCTCGCTTGTTACTCACCCTCGTGCCTCTGTGTCCTCTGTGTCCGCTCTTACTGCCGCAGTCACTGAGTTTGCCTCTACCCGCCGCCTTGACTTCGCCACCGCTCTTGTGGCTGCTCCTCCTTCCAGTCCTCTGGCCGTCGGGGGTGTGTCTGCCCTTGGCTGTGACGCCCTAGAGGACAGGCAGTTTGAGCTAGAGTTCCTGGCGGCCGCTTCCCCTCATCTCTGTGCCATGCTCCTCGCCCCTGAGGGTGACCCCGACGCCCTTGACATTCCGACTCCTCGCACTTACGCTGAGGCAGTGTCAGGGCCTTGGGCCTCTCAGTGGAGAGCTGCCATGGACGCAGAGATGGCCTCCTACAGATCCACAGGCACCTACGTCGATGAGGTTCCCCCTCCGGGGGCGAACGTAGTCGACGGCATGTGGATCTACAGGGTGAAGCGGCCACCGGGATCTCCTCCGGTCTTCAAGGCGCGCTACGTGGCTAGAGGTTTCAGTCAGCGCGAGGGAGTTGACTTCTTTCAGACCTTCGCGCCCACCCCGAAGATGACCACTCTTCGGGTGTTACTGCACGTAGCAGCACAGAGAGACTACGAGTTACACTCTCTTGACTTCTCTACTGCTTTCCTTCAGGGCAGTCTGCACGAGGAGGTCTGGTTGCGTCGTCCCTCTGCCTTCACTGGCTCTTTCCCTCCTGGGACCCAGTGGAGGCTGAGGCGACCGGTTTACGGACTTCGTCAGGCTCCTCGTGAGTGGCACGACACCCTGCGTTCTACCCTGTCTGACCTTGGGTTCCAGCCGTCTTCTGCTGACCCGTCGCTGTTCGTTCGTCGTGGCCCCACACCTTTCTTTGTTCTGGTCTACGTTGACGACCTTGTTTTCGCCACCCCTGACAGAGTTGCTTTGGCACACGTGAAGTCCGAACTGCAGAAGAGACACACCTGCACTGATCTTGGTGAGCTGCGCCACTACCTTGGCCTGCAGATCACCAGGGACAGAGCTGCTCGCACCATTACACTTTCACAGTCGCACATGGTGCAGCAGGTCCTTCAGCGGTTCGGGCTTCAGCACTCCACAGTACAGCGCACACCTCTTGCTGTTGACCACAGACTCACTGGACCCTTTCCTGACGAGCCGTTCGAGCCTAGTGGTCCCTACGCTGAGCTTGTGGGTTGCCTCATGTACCTGATGACTTGTACTCGCCCGGACCTCGCCTTCCCTCTCAGCGTTCTTGCGCGCTTTGTTGCGCCAGGGAGACACCGTCCTGCTCACTGGACAGCAGCTGTGAGGGTGGCGAAGTACCTAGCGACGACGTCAGGCGTGGGGCTAGTTCTTGGAGGGCAGCAGTCTGTCGTACTTACTGGTCACTGTGACTCCTCTTACGCTGACGACGCTGAGACTCACAGGTCTACTCAGGGGTACTGTTTCAGCCTGGGTTCTGGAGCTGTTTCCTGGCGGTCCACGCGCTCCTCTTCGGTCTCGACCTCTACAGCTGAGGCTGAGATCTACGCTGGTGCCATGGCGGCACAGGAGCTGCGTTGGTTGACCTTCTTGCTCACCGACCTTGGTGAGCGGCCGAGCTCTGCACCGACCTTGTTCACTGACAACAAGGCGTCTATTCTCCTTTGTCGAGAGCCACGACTGGAGAGCAGAGTGAAGCACATTCACGTCAGGTACTTTCTTCTGCGTGAGTTGCAGAGGCGTGGACAGGCTCGCTTTGAGTTTGTGGAGTCCGAGGCCAACACTGCAGACATCTTCACCAAGGCGCTTCCGCCTTGTGACCACCAGAGGTGCTGTGTGCAGTTAGGCCTTGTTGACACTGGTTCTCGTGTTGCTTAGACCTGAGTGTACTGTTTACTTTGCTTTCTATATATCTCTGTTACTTCTTGGACTGGCCTTGTGGCCACTGTTGTTTGTGCTCAGACTGCGTGGTGACGTTGTGATCCACCCTGAGCTTTGTTTCTTGGACTGGTCTTGTGACCGTACTCGTTTGGTTCTGCTAGACACCCCTCACTTAGGCTATGGGGGTGTGTCAAATGTTGTAGCCTGTAGTGAGGTTTGTCTTAGGGGGTACAAAACTTAGGGTTAGCTATATGTACCCCAACCAACATCAATGCACCATCCATTCTTCATTCTGACAAGTAACTGGAATTTCGAGAGTTCGCAACCCTTTCGAGCATGCTGGGGCGCCCCAGAGCACGCCCCAGGGCATGCTGGCACGCGTCGGCGCATCGCCTCGTCCCGGCACGCCCCAGGACGAGGCGATGCACCGGGTTCCCGTGTGCATGGAAGCTTCGAAACCCGGTGCACAGCGGTGCATCGGGGCATGCCAAGGCGTTCTGCACCACGTCCTAATGCAGTATGTTCCAAGAACGGCCTCATGCTTACAAGGAAATTCGCTGCATTTGGCCTGGTGATTGGCTTAGAATGATGGCTGGCGGGTGTAGCAAGCAGCTTCACCACACCTTCCATAATGTCCTAGTTGCCGAGTGTGAAGTTCTGATCTGAGGCATCCTACACAACCCCCCCCCCCGCCTCCTTTTCCTCCATCCACATATCGTACTCATCTCTGAACCACTCAACCCCCTACACACACTCCTTCATGCACACTTACTCCCTTGTTCTACAGGATGTCTCCGAAAGAACTCCCTACCTACAGCCTAATGTACCAAAAAAAAACCTCCTTGGGCATTCCTGCGTACAGCGTTATTTATTTCCTCCATTCAAGAACGTTTTTCTGCGTCTTTCAACCAGTCGTTGAGGCTAGCTTCAGTAGCCGCACTCATTGGAACGTTGGTAGGTTCCGAGGCAGATAAGGAAGCAGCTGCAGCGCCTGCAGCATCACTGGAACCAGAAGCACCAGGAGACGCACTGGCACCAGCAGTCAGAGAAGCTCTGCTCCGGGCCAAAGCAGACGCAGCTGCTGCCGTGGCTGCTGCCTCTGCCGCCTCTGCTGCTGCTGCTCCTGCCGCAGCTGCTGCCGCCGCTGCCGATTCTGCTGATTCGGTCGCTGCTACAACTGTGCCATATCCCCCCCCACCGGCTTCTAGGTCTTGTCGCTCCCCACCTCTACTATCCCCACCTAGACCTCCGTTCGTGTAAGTGTCTATGGCTAAGTCATGCGCTTTGGCCACTGCAGCAGCTTTGGCAAGCTCGTCTTTTGTGGGCTGGTAAGTAGCGGTAGAAATAGGGCGGAGAGCGAGGAGGGCGAGGGTGAGGAGGTAGAGGAGGAGTAGCAGGGATGCCAGAACGGTGAAGATGATTCGGACGAGGTTGGATTCGGTGGAGGGGGGTGAGGAGGGTTTGAGGTAGAGCAAGTCCACGCAGGTCCAGATGATGAGAGAGGCGTTTGCTAGAATGATGAGGGTGCCCACAATTGAGGCGGCAACGGTTGTCTTTTAGTGGGGTTAAGAAGGGGAGTTTGTGGAAAGAATGAGTGGCAGAAAGCAGAAGAAAGGGAGGGCGCGTGTTTGTTATTGATATCCTTTTTTCCTTTTGCGATGTACTGAGACTCAGAATTCTTCAGAACAACAACTAGGCATGGTGCTTATCGAAGCGCGAGTTGCACATGCAACCAAAGAGGCGAGGTTTGCGAGGTCGCAAGACAGTCTCACCCAGGCATGCATGGCGTGGCGAACATGCCCATCTTAAGAGTGGTGCTGGTGAACTTGAGCAGGGGGACCAGGGCGAAGGGGAATGGAATGTTGTGGCGCCTTAAGGAGGGCACAAGTCTGTCTTACCCACGCATGTGTAGCGAACATGCCCATCTTGAGAGTAGTGCTGGTGAACTTGAGCAGGGGAATCAGGGCGAAAGGCAGCCCGAAGGATGACACAATCTGGCGTGCGGGTGGGCAAGTGAGGAGGAGAAGTAATAGGGTTAGCGAGGCCAAAGTGTCAAGCGGAACAAGATGACCAGAGAAGTCCTTAACTTTGCCTCATCCAGGTTGAAGAATGTGGTGGCGAAGTTGAGCAGGGGGATGAGAAGGAAGAGGGGAATGACGGATAGCACAATCCGGAAAGCTCAGAAGAGAGAGAAGAGGTTGGGAGTGGAGAAGTGAGGAGACGATCGGAGAGGAGAGGGATGGGGAAATGAGAGGAGAGGAGAGCAGAGGAAGGATGGGATGGTGGGAGGCGCGGGATGGGAAGGAAAGGAAAGGAGAGGAGAGGAGAGGAGAAAAAACAGCATGTCAGAATCGACACTAAGGGTTTAGGGATATGGATTAGGGGCATCAAGGGGGGGGTGCCTGAACCGAAACAACATAAAAAGGGAGGACAGTACAATGCCTTCTTACCGAGCAGAGGACAGTACAATGCCTTCTTACCGAGCAGAGCACAGTAGAATGCCTTCTTACCGAGCAGAGCACAGTACAATGCCTTCTTACCGAGCAGAGGATGATGAGGAGGCTGGCCCCGTTGGCCCCGAAGAGAAGAGCCACTAGTAGCGCCGGCACGATGGCTATGAGGCGCGTGATGAGGTTGCGCAGCCATGTGCTTATACGGAGCTCGATGAAGCCCTGTAACGAGGATGGATGGTAGAGGGGGGGTGAGGGGAGGGAAGCGGAAATAAATGCTGTGTGAGTGAATGTGGTATGAGAGAGGAGGAAAGAGGATTTAAGAGTGAGGACAAAAGAGGTGAAGGAGAGGAGTAAAACGAGGGTACAGAGAGCAGGAAGTGAGGAGATGGGGGGGAGCAGGAAAGAGAGAGGCCGGTTGAAGGAGTGCTGCTGTCACCTGCATCACGTATTGCCCGGCGTAAGTTCCAGTGACTGTGCTGCTCTGCCCTGCTGCCAGCAGCTGCTGTTACCGGACATCAGCACCTTTAGAGACGCTGCAAGATTGTTCACCTGCATCACGTATTGCCCGGCGTACGTCCCTGTGACTGTGCTGCTCTGCCCTGCTGCCAGCAGCGCCACTCCAAACAGCGTCCCTGCCCATCCTCCCAGCACATCCTGAGGAAGATTGCGGGACAGAGAAGGGTGGGAGGTACGGGAGAAGTAACACGTGCGCATTGCTGATGCTGATGCTGATGCTGATGCTGATGCTGATGCTCATGCTGATGCTGTTGCTTATGCTCATGCTGATGCTGTTGCTTATGCTGATGCTGATGCTGATGCTGATGCTGTTGCTGATGCTGATGCTGATGCTGATGCTGACGCTGACGCTGACGCTGACGCTGTTGCTGACGCTGACGCTGACGCTGTTGCTGATGCTGATGCTGATGCTGATGCTGATGCTGATGCTGATGCTGATGCTGATGCTGATGCTGACGCTGACGCTGACGCTGTTGCTGACGCTGACGCTGACGCTGACGCTGACGCTGATGCTGATGCTGATGCTGATGCTGATGCTGATGCTGATGCTGATGCTGATGCTGATGCTGATGCTGATGCTTATGCTGATGCTGATGCTGATGCTGATGCTGATGCCGATGCTGATGCTGATGCTGATGCTGATGTTGATGCTGATGCTGATGTTGATGCTGATGCTGATGCTGATGCTGATGCTGATGCTGATGCTGATCCTGATCAGCTCCCCATTGCACACCCATAAGAAGCTCACACCCTCTTGTCACACCCCCTGTACAATACTCACCGTGAGCAGCACGTGCGCGTTGCTGATGCTGATGTTGGCACACGCTTCAGCGGCGCCGGGCGGCAGACTGGCGGAGTGACATACAGCGCCGGCCACAGCAATGATTGCCACGTTGATGAGCACGCTGATTAGAAGTGCCAAGGCGAGTTCTAGCAGCGAGTAGTGGCTGGCGGTCTGGGAGGGGTGGGAAGCGGTTCAGAGGGTGATGGGAGAGGAACAGGTGTTTATGATGGCCACAGAAGTGATCGCCGCAGCAATAATTGCCTCGTTGATCACCACGCTGATCAGCAGAGCCAAGGCGAGTTCCAAGAGAGAGTAGTGGCTGGCGGTCTGAGGGGTGGGAAGCGGTTGAGAGGGTGACAAGAAGGAAACAGGTGTTATTGAGGGCCGCAGCAATGACTGCCACGTTGATCACCCCGCTGATCAGCAGTGCTAAGGCGAGCTCTAGCAGCGAGTAGTGGCTGGCGGTCTGAGGGGTGGGAAGCGGTTGAGAGGGTGACAAGAAGGAAACAGGTGTTATTGAGGGCCGCAGCAATGACTGCCACGTTGATCACCCCGCTGATCAGCAGTGCTAAGGCGAGCTCTAGCAGCGAGTAGTGGCTGGCGGTCTGAGGGGTGGGAAGCGGTTGAGAGGGTGACAAGAAGGAAACAGGTGTTATTGAGGGCCGCAGCAATGACTGCCACGTTGATCACCCCGCTGATCAGCAGTGCTAAGGCGAGCTCTAGCAGCGAGTAGTGGCTGGCGGTCTGAGGGGTGGGAAGCGGTTGAGAGGGTGACAAGAAGGAAACAGGTGTTATTGAGGGCCGCAGCAATGACTGCCACGTTGATCACCCCGCTGATCAGCAGTGCTAAGGCGAGCTCTAGCAGCGAGTAGTGGCTGGCGGTCTGAGGGGTGGGAAGCGGTTGAGAGGGTGACAAGAAGGAAACAGGTGTTATTGAGGGCCGCAGCAATGACTGCCACGTTGATCATCCCGCTGATCAGCAGTGCTAAGGCGAGCTCTAGCAGCGAGTAGTGGCTGGCGGTCTGAGGGGTGGGAAGCGGTTGAGAGGGTGACAAGAAGGAAACAGGTGTTATTGAGGGCCGCAGCAATGACTGCCACGTTGATCACCCCGCTGATCAGCAGAGCCAAGGCGAGTTCCAAGAGAGAGTAGTGGCTGGCGGTCTGAGGGGTGGGAAGCGGTTGAGAGGGTGACAAGAAGGAAACAGGTGTTATTGAGGGCCGCAGCAATGACTGCCACGTTGATCACCCCGCTGATCAGCAGTGCTAAGGCGAGCTCTAGCAGCGAGTAGTGGCTGGCGGTCTGAGGGGTGGGAAGCGGTTGAGAGGGTGACAAGAAGGAAACAGGTGTTATTGAGGGCCGCAGCAATGACTGCCACGTTGATCACCCCGCTGATCAGCAGTGCTAAGGCGAGCTCTAGCAGCGAGTAGTGGCTGGCGGTCTGAGGGGTGGGAAGCGGTTGAGAGGGTGACAAGAAGGAAACAGGTGTTATTGAGGGCCGCAGCAATGACTGCCACGTTGATCACCCCGCTGATCAGCAGTGCTAAGGCGAGCTCTAGCAGCGAGTAGTGGCTGGCGGTCTGAGGGGTGGGAAGCGGTTGAGAGGGTGACAAGAAGGAAACAGGTGTTATTGAGGGCCGCAGCAATGACTGCCACGTTGATCACCCCGCTGATCAGCAGTGCTAAGGCGAGCTCTAGCAGCGAGTAGTGGCTGGCGGTCTGAGGGGTGGGAAGCGGTTGAGAGGGTGACAAGAAGGAAACAGGTGTTATTGAGGGCCGCAGCAATGACTGCCACGTTGATCATCCCGCTGATCAGCAGTGCTAAGGCGAGCTCTAGCAGCGAGTAGTGGCTGGCGGTCTGAGGGGTGGGAAGCGGTTGAGAGGGTGACAAGAAGGAAACAGGTGTTATTGAGGGCCGCAGCAATGACTGCCACGTTGATCACCCCGCTGATCAGCAGAGCCAAGGCGAGTTCCAAGAGAGAGTAGTGGCTGGCGGTCTGAGGGGTGGGAAGCGGTTGAGAGGGTGACAAGAAGGAAACAGGTGTTATTGAGGGCCGCAGCAATGACTGCCACGTTGATCACCCCGCTGATCAGCAGTGCTAAGGCGAGCTCTAGCAGCGAGTAGTGGCTGGCGGTCTGAGGGGTGGGAAGCGGTTGAGAGGGTGACAAGAAGGAAACAGGTGTTATTGAGGGCCGCAGCAATGACTGCCACGTTGATCACCCCGCTGATCAGCAGTGCTAAGGCGAGCTCTAGCAGCGAGTAGTGGCTGGCGGTCTGAGGGGTGGGAAGCGGTTGAGAGGGTGACAAGAAGGAAACAGGTGTTATTGAGGGCCGCAGCAATGACTGCCACGTTGATCACCCCGCTGATCAGCAGTGCTAAGGCGAGCTCTAGCAGCGAGTAGTGGCTGGCGGTCTGAGGGGTGGGAAGCGGTTGAGAGGGTGACAAGAAGGAAACAGGTGTTATTGAGGGCCGCAGCAATGACTGCCACGTTGATCACCCCGCTGATCAGCAGTGCTAAGGCGAGCTCTAGCAGCGAGTAGTGGCTGGCGGTCTGAGGGGTGGGAAGCGGTTGAGAGGGTGACAAGAAGGAAACAGGTGTTATTGAGGGCCGCAGCAATGACTGCCACGTTGATCATCCCGCTGATCAGCAGTGCTAAGGCGAGCTCTAGCAGCGAGTAGTGGCTGGCGGTCTGAGGGGTGGGAAGCGGTTGAGAGGGTGACAAGAAGGAAACAGGTGTTATTGAGGGCCGCAGCAATGACTGCCACGTTGATCATCCCGCTGATCAGCAGTGCTAAGGCGAGCTCTAACAGCGAGTACTGGCTGGCGGTCTGAGGGGTGGGAAGCGGTTGAGAGGGTGACAAGAAGGAAACAGGTGTTATTGAGGGCCGCAGCAATGACTGCCACGTTGATCATCCCGCTGATCAGCAGTGCTAAGGCGAGCTCTAGCAGCGAGTACTGGCTGGCGGTCTGAGGGGTGGGAAGCGGTTGAGAGGGAGGGGGACAGGTGTGTAAGATCGTTTACAGCCATAGCAATGATTGCCATGTTGATGCCCACGCTGATCAGCAGCGCCAGAGCGGGTCCTATGAGAGAGCAGTGGCTGGCTGTCTGTCTGAGAATGAGTGAAGAGGACGGAGGGGAAGGGGTTTGATAACATGGGGTTATCATGAGGGGAAGAGGTTTGATAACATGGGGTTATCATGAGGGGAAGGGGTTTGATAACATGGGGTTAGGGGATGATGCCGAGGCTGATGAGTTGACTTTTGAGTTGACTCAAAAGTCAACTCGGTTAGGGGATGATGCCGAGGCTGATGAGCACCTAACTACCCTACTCGTTGGTGTGACACCATGGTGGTGAGGGTGGTTCAATTCAATTCAACCAAGCAGCACGAAAGGTTCAACTCATAAACACGGGTGCTTTACCCTGATCGCTCGAGTGGTTCCTGCGTGCTTGCGGCTGAGAACGATGGCGGAGTGAAGGTAGAGATTGTGCCTTGGGGGGAGAAGGGGGAATCACGGGTGGGGAGAAGTGCAGGGGGGAGAGGGGGGTTTGAGACGTCTTGAAAGAGAATGCATGCCGCCAATGGCGGAGTGACGGAAGAGATTGTGGCTGGGGAGATGCATGGGGAGATGTATGGATGGGGAGTGGAGAGATGTATTCTCCCAATGCATGGGATGGTGGAGAGTGGAAGGGGAGAATGCATGGGTAGATTGTGGCTGGGGAGAATGCATGGGTAGATTGTGGCTGGGGAGAATGCATGGGTAGATTGTGGCTGGGGAGAATGCATGGGTAGATTGTGGCTGGGGAGAATGCATGGGTAGATTGTGGCTGGGGAGAATGCATGGGTAGATTGTGGCTGGGGAGAATGCATGGGTAGATTGTGGCTGGGGAGAATGCATGGGTAGATTGTGGCTGGGGAGAATGCATGGGTAGATTGTGGCTGGGGAGAATGCATGGGTAGATTGTGGCTGGGGAGAATGCATGGGTAGATTGTGGCTGGGGAGAATGCATGGGTAGATTGTGGCTGGGGAGAATGCATGGGTAGATTGTGGCTGGGGAGAATGCATGGGTAGATTGTGGCTGGGGAGAATGCATGGGTAGATTGTGGCTGGGGAGAATGCATGGGTAGATTGTGGCTGGGGAGAATGCATGGGTAGATTGTGGCTGGGGAGAATGCATGGGTAGATTGTGGCTGGGGAGAATGCATGGGTAGATTGTGGCTGGGGAGAATGCATGGGTAGATTGTGGCTGGGGAGAATGCATGGGTAGATTGTGGCTGGGGAGAATGCATGGGTAGATTGTGGCTGGGGAGAATGCATGGGTAGATTGTGGCTGGGGAGAATGCATGGGTAGATTGTGGCTGGGGAGAATGCATGGGTAGATTGTGGCTGGGGAGAATGCATGGGTAGATTGTGGCTGGGGAGAATGCATGGGTAGATTGTGGCTGGGGAGAATGCATGGGTAGATGCATGGAGAGTGGAGTGAGGGGTGAGCGGGGAGGGGGGAAGGGGGTGTGGGTTGGGACGATGAGGTGAGGGGTGGGACGATGGGATGGGAGGTTTGAAAAGGATGGAGGGTGGCGGAATGGTAAGGGAAAGTGGAGAGAAGTCGCTAACTCACGGCATGACAGTGGCCCCTAGGATAGAGATGGCGGCTTTTGAGTCGACTCAAAAGTCAACTCGAAGTTGCTAACTCACGGCATGACAGTGGCCCCAAGGATTGAGATGGCGACCGCAAGGGCTCCCACATTTTGCAGCTGCCAGGTAAGGATGGGCAGGGGAAGTGGAGGATAGGACTTGTGAAACGTCTCAACAGGTCGCACATCGATTTGGGTTTGGCACATGGCCGTGCACAACCGGGGATGTGGCCAGTGAACATCTTTTGCCAAATAGTGAACATCTTTTGCCAAATGTGCTGCTGCCATTGGTGCCGCTGCCTGCCATGTATGCATGCAGCATACTCCTTCTAAGCGCATAAGCCACCTGAGGCCACATGAGCTTCTAGCCTCACCTGAAACACCTGATTGCACTAAAGGCACCACCTGAATACTCACCTGATGCACCTGAGATCTCACCTGAGGCACCTGCTCTCTCACCTGAGGCACGACCATCCCCTTGAAGAGCTCCCCCACGTCTGACGGCTGTAGCGCCTTGACCATCTCCGCTATAAAGCACCCCGCTATAAGCAGCACCATCAGCGCCATTATAGTTTCCAGAGGACGCGCCTGGAAGAAAGGGGAGAGGTGGTCGGGGGGCCAGCTATGAAAATGAGAAGGGGCGGAGGAGGGCAGCTCGCCAGTATGAAATGAGCCGATATTTGAGCTGTCTCGAATACGGAAGGCAAACACGCAATGGAAGCAAAGAAAGATATCTAGCAGAGTACCAAAGTTTCCCGAGAATGACACAAAATGAATTCTCACCCCGAATCTCTCGAGGGCAAGGAGCAGCAGGGCGCTGCAGCCCGTTATAAGCACACCGGCCCACAGCGGGATGCGGAAGAGGAGGTTGAGAGCGATGGCTGTGCCCACCACTGGAGGGAGGAGGGAAGGAGAGGCGGAAAGGAAAGGTGCGGAAGGGGGCAGGGAAGTCAGAGGGATTAACTAATGATAGGATATAGAAGGTGCCTACGACTAATTGAGAGAGAAGGCGAGGGGGGTTGGAAAGCCGAGGAAGGGAGGCAGGCAGGGAGGTGAAGAGTTTGAAAGCGAGGGCTCTGAAGAAGGATGGAACTGAAGGGAGGAGAGAAGAGAAGGGGCGCGGTGAGAAGGATCAAGCTGACTCACGGGCTGCGGAATGTCGCTGACAGAATAGGCAGGAAGGTCACCTTGGGGAATGTCGCTGGCGATGACGTTGATCTCTGCAATGAGCCACAGCACCACGTTGAGACCCGCGGGGTACTCCAGGCGGCAATGCTGCGCCAAATGCTTGCCTGGCGTGCGGCAAAGAGGGGAGGGAACGTGAAAAGTGCACAGCAGATGAACGAGAAAGGAATAGACGGGGGGGGGGGGGGGGTTGAGGGGGAGAGGGAGGGACACTGAGACCCGAGGGGTACTCCAGGCGACAGTGCTGCGCTAGGTGCTTGCCTGGAGTTCGGCAGGGGCAGGGAACGCCGATAGTCAGCCAGCACGGGAGAGAGGAGCAAGGGAGAGTTACAGAAAGGCTTGGGAAATGGGGCATTGATAGGAACGAGTTAGGTGCTTGCTTTGAGTGCGCAATGGTGGGGATATGCTGATACCGATGGTACTTGTAAGTTGTTGCAAGTTGCAAACAAGACAATTGCTTGGTTTACCTGTGACAATCCCGAGGTTGGCTGAGAGTGACTGTATGAAGAGGCCTGCTATCGAGGCAAGCAGAAGGGCCCAAAGGAGCTGTAACGGGGAGAGGAGAGAGGGAGGACATGGTGTATATCATTGTTCAGCCAGCGCAAAAGAATGATCGTTCGCGCATTCGTTCCAAACGAAAACAGCAGGCGCCTTGAAAAGGGAGAGCACGAAATGGAGTGTGGTCTCACGGCGCCTTGAAAGAAGGAAGAAGAGTACGGAATAGAGTGTGTAGCTACCTAATACCAGGTGGGTATCTGTGTAGTTACCTAATACCAGGTGGCCATCATTCTTTCGCCCCGGCTGATACAACTCAGATAAGCTCTATCCACCTTGCTTTCGTCTTTCAATCCATGCACTTTATGTTCCTTCCCCCTCGTTCCCCTTCCACTCTTTTAGCCACTTGTCCCCACCCGTCCTCTTCCCTCCTCACCTCACCCGCCCCTCCGATCTCCGCACCACAGCCTTTCTCCCTTTTCCTTCCCTCCACTTTCTCCGCACCCAGCCATGATCCTCCCCTTCACTCCCCCCAGTCTCCACCCCAGCCATTCTCCCCTCCGCCTCCCATCCGCTGTCTCTCCGTCCCAGTCATTCTCACCGTGAATTTGTATGCAGCTCCCGCCTTCAAATCGCTCTCAACTGAAACAGGGACCAGTTAATAGCAGGGAGGATGAGGCAAGGCAGAGCAAGGTGCAATAAATCTGCGAGATGTCGTGAATCGCGCCTGTATCTCGTGCTTGTTTGCTACAATGAAGCATGGGAGAGAAGAAGGGGACGCCTGGATGAGACCCTAAACCCTAAACGCCAGGAGGGGATGGGTTGGGAAGACTGATGAAGATCGAGGGTGCGAAGATCGGGGATGTTTAGATAAGTGCTTCAACGGGAAAGGTGAGTCTATAACGGGTACGAGAGGACTTACAGTTGCCGGGGTCGATATAAGCTATGGCGACAAGGAAGCCTGGGCCCACATACGACCAGCACTGACGCCATCCCTTGCCCTGCAGTCACGAAAACATTGACGAGATGTAACTGAGATTTGCGGCGGCTCACGGTCACATCATGTGACGTGATGATCACGTCTCGCAGTTTGAAAAGCCTCAGATCTGACCGAACCGACATAGTACGTCCAGCACTGACGATATCTCCCCTTGCACGTCGGCCCAACAGTATCGACAGCCAGCGGTGGAAGGCGAAAATTTATGGGAGGCTCCCGCTCTCTCAGCCTCCCAATCTGCAACCGAATCTGACCCTCTTCATAATCTTTTTGAGCGTCTTTCCGTTCCACCAACATCGCCGAAACCGTTGGTGCCTACTTTCGCCCTCCTTTGGGGTGCATCATCTCAATTGTCCGACTGGTCTTACATGAAAGGATGAAATGGACGCTTTCAGCCAAAGTTGGAATCGTCTCAAGTTGAGGATTTTTCAAGACCAAAATGCACGCCTTGCAGGCACTATCGCATGTTGGGGTCGTTGCTCTCACCTCAGGCACTATCACTTTCCGCGATGAATCTTCTTCCCTTTTCTCCGGCGGTGACACGTCAGCTCCCCTTGACACGGGTCCCATTGAATAAGCTGGAACTGCCTTTACCAGAAAGAAAATGTATATCGCGCAAAACTATTCGCTTGGGTGGACTGTCTGGCCAATGTGGTTCAAGAGAATCCTTTCAAAGCTCAATAATTACGCAGTGACTTGAAATTCTAGACCAGGTATGTGCGTAGCACGCGCATTCTCATCGGCAAGGAAAAGAAGAAACATTGGAAATCTTTGTTTACTGCCATGTCACGTTCTCCGCTCCAGCCAACATCGTCGTTTACAAGAGTACTGGCAGGAGACCTGATAAGCACGATAGCTGGTATGCTGAGGACCTGCAATAATGACTAGTTCTTGCTGTTCAGAAACAACTAAGGATGCTGGAGAGACGACTAGCACGAGGCGGACGAGACAAGCAGAAAAGCCAATTGCATGAGCAAGGAGATCAGTTTCAAAGCTAACAGCGACCATGCCCGGCTGGAGTTCTCGAGGCTTGCGGAGCAGCAGCAGCTCCCTTGAAAATGTGCACAATTATTTGTGCTCGCGCTGCGAATGTGAGTCGCCGTGACGCGTTCCTTCCAAACCTGGTGTTGGTTCCTTTTCCTGTTGGGCAATCTCGCGCCCGCAAATGGCGCTACACCTTGCCGAAGTAACGCAAAATGATTCGTCGAAATTCGCTAAACAGACCACAGAGGTGCAACAACGAGTGACGAGCGTGTGGCTTGCAGAGGTTGACGGTCGCGAAAAAAGCTGGACAATATTGGGTATGTCGAGCTCAAATCCAACCTTCATTTCCCTATTGCCCACTACTCTAAAAGAGCAATCCTGCTAAATTAATAATGATAAATTTCGTAAAAGACATTTATTCGAATACTTTTAGCCCAACTCAAGTTAATTCACATAAATATCATGTTTTGAATTGATTCAATCATGCATGTCACATGGATGGTTATTCGATGTTCTTAGATTTTTGAAGAGCTAAGATATAGAAGTATTTATATGACACTGCTCGTTTGCGCCATCTTTCAATATTTGAACGTCTGCGATTGGTGAGAGCTTACGTGGTATTGTTTGCGTTGGGGGTGTTCATTCATTAGTATCACCAAGTCTTGTTGCTGAAGGATTTGGCATTGCTGGCGCCACATGGCTGTGGTGAATTTCTGATTCCTTTGGCGGCGCTTTGCAATAAAGATCCTCCTGTCGCGGTGGGGCGACCTGCCATCGCTTCTTCAACTTGTGGTTCCGAGAACCAAAGGAAGCATGTGGTTGTTGGCGGTGGGATAGCGACGCAGAAGCGATAATTGGCTTTGAAACCGTGCAGTTTCCTGCCTTTCGGGCGTGTTTTCGGGGTTGTCAGAGCTCCGGGGGCATTTGATATTCCCATCCGACGTCTCCAGGACCACCATCACCACCACAAAACACCAAGCACTTTTGCCGTGGATAAAACGCCTAGCCGTGGTTCCCAAGGGTTGGAGGTCCTCATGCCACGCAAGCTTCCTTGGAGATGCCTCACGTCGCCCAGTGGTGACGCAATTTGGGGGAGCTTGTCGCTGGCAGCTGGAAACCATCGCCACGGATATCGTTTGCCGCGACGCGGTTAAATGCGCTCCAACAGCTCCTCCTCCTCATCCGATCATAGCCACATGTGTTGTGGATAAACAGCCGTGCCGCGCAATCGGACACGGAGGTTCTAGATTGGAGCTTCGAGATTGGCGCGATTGCACTAGCCCACATAGTGAGCTACAGAAATGTCACTTGGGGTACCCTGGCGCCAACGTCTATCCTTTTCAAGCCTCTAGAATTTATAGAAGGAAACCTTGGTGCCGTCAAGTTCTGACGGCACAATGTCTAGGATATCTGTAAACAAGGGGCTGTCTAAGTGCGAGAAGTGATAGATTATGGCAGGCTGTACTCACTATGTTCCAGAACCTCCCCTGCAAAGTGTTTGCTGAAGCCAGACAGTACTTTTCTACCCCTACGAAGCAACTCCTTTTTCTTGGCACGGCATGGTAAATGCTGACCCTAATACAACACTGGTCACGCAACGTGTGGATTTTAGTTGCATCTTCGTCGAATTCCAAACCCTGCCCACTACTTTGAGCTACTACGAGGACTGCTCGGTCATCTACAGAACCGCCCTTTATGGATCGTACAAAAAAGGGTACGCACCCGTAGCAATTGTTTTTTAGAATGGCCCACTAGTTACGACTGTCGTCGCGCCATTAATTCTATCCACTTCTTCTTTGTGAGGCGGGGGTTGTCTCACTGTTTCAGAGCCGTGCGTTCCTACCTGGCACCAGCCACGCCCAGATTTTCCCTGCGTGGAGCAGCATTTTCCACCTTGCAACCACAAGCAGACGATCGCAAGGGCGTTGCGTTTTCACTATTTCATCGCCGTTTCGCCAGTTTAGCCGTTGAAGCCACAATCGTTCTTGTTGCTTCTGCTTTGCTGGTCGTCTCACCTTCTCGCTCAAACCCTCATCACGTCCCCAATCTCCACCAACCCTGACCTTAGAAAACCAACCCTGCTCAACTTCTCTGTCTGCTCTAACAACTAGCTACTTGAGCAACAAAGCCAACACTTTTCTAGCAGCTTCGCGAGTTCCAACTTAGAGACTTCCACCATGGCTGTTGCCTTAACCAGCTCATACATGTGCGAAGACTACACCTCAGAGCCCGTGAGTTTCCGTCAAGCGTCATACCCTGACTTTATCGACAGCTGCTCCGCAGCAGCGTCTGCCCAGCCTCTCTCACCGCCTTCCCCATCTTCCACTTCACACGCCGACCTCCACGACGACCACCACAAACAGCAACCATCCTCGACCTCAAAACTCCACCTTTCTCGACAATCGTCCGGCCGCCAACAACAAAGCCACAGCAACCACGGTCAATCCTTCCGTTCGCTCCCTTGCATCCGGTCCGGAGTCACAGTCCATCCCGTCAGGAAGAACGGCCACGTTACCCTGATGGAGATCCGGACTATTTCCCCCGTCGCCATCCGGTGCGTCCGGCAAAACGGTCGTCTCATGATGGAGAAGACCCAGCGCGGACCCTCTATGTCACCATCGGGACGACTCACGCCTAGCAGTTCTATCCGGTCTCCAGTTTCGGAGTTAAGCCCTCCATCGTCGGCTTCGAGCTCGCGCCGCTTTTCTGGATCATACGCATCACTGGATGGATCTGTTAACGGCAGCGCGTGTTCGAGTCCATCCAGGTCTCCGTTCGAGCCTTCGCTGAGGAAGGCGGTGAGCGGAAGCAACGCTGTTCCTGCTGTGACACTGACGACTGCGCCGCGTAACCTGTCGCGGTCGCAGACTCTTCCGAGAGATTTCGATCAGGTTATTGTCACGCGCTGAGACAGCATGACAGTTGGAAGGCTTCTGACGACCGGGCGTGCAATGGTTGTTACCGCATGACTTGCGGATACTATGTTCTTCGGAAGATTTGTGGATGATGCGAAACTAACAGCGAGCAGCTCGTGCGTCGTCCATCGCCGCTTCGCGAGAGTGTTACACCGTCACCATCCGCGCGTGGAATTTTCTGCTACGCTGTGCGAATCTGGCGCCGTTTTCGCCTTTAGCAGGCACCTGACTGGTGACTGTTGATGTGTACAGGGCCTGCTGTAGGCTGCTATAGTCTTATGATTAGTATCACTGCAGGCACCTGTGCCTTGGTGCATAGGTCGCTGCGATTTTTTGGGCCATCTCCCTGTGCATGGTCCTGCTGGTCCTCTGCCATGGTTGATGTGCCTCCTAATTGATAGATGTGTGTTGGTGTCGCAATGTATGATCACTTAAATTGGAATATGAGTTACAACATTTTTCCGCTGTTTCACAAAGTTTTCACTAGCTTAGCTTGGAGTATTCTGAAGTGGAATGGACACTCGTGCTCAAGCCTGTTCAGTTCAGGATGGATAAGTTCTGGATGGATAACCTGACTGCTACTAACCACCTGCGAAGACAAGCTAGCTAAAAATATTTTATAACTGACTTAGTGCAAAGAAGAAAGCAAACCTATCTAAATTGTGACTAGAAGTCTCAAAACTCAAGGTCATCCTCTACTACAATTTCAGGCAACGGGCCATCAGAGTCAGATTCAAATCCAGTTGACGGAGCAGCTGCAGCACCACCAGGTGTAGCCCTCCCCCTCCCAGCAGCAGCAGCAGCAGCAGCAGCCCCCAACACTTGCACCAACAGCACCACCAGTAGCACCAGCAGTAGCATCACCAGCAGCAAGTTTACTAGCCCCAACACCAGCTGTAGAACCAGCTTGCCCTTCTTGTCCCGAACCTGCAACCCCACTGGAACCCAAACCCAAACCTGTGGTCCCCTGACCTCCAGAACCCGAACCTGGAGTCCCCGAGCCTCCAGTACCTAGGTAGCCAGACCACTGTAGCATGCGAGCCATGGCAGCAGCCTTGGTTCGGGACTCCCTGGCCCTCCTAGCAGCCTCCAGCCCAGCAGCATCTGCCTCCTCCACCGTGGTTACCACCTTTCTTGCCCCGTAACCATGCGAACCTGCAGGTGCCGAACCTGCAAGCGCCGAACCTCCTCCGGCCCGAGCCTGCTCTTTGACCTGCCTCCCTGTCCCTGATCCGCCTGTTGACCCACCAGACCCACCACCAACAGCACCAGCACCAGCGGCAGCACCAGCACCAGCAGCAGCAGCAGCAGCAGCAGAAGCAGAAGCACCACCAGCACCAGCAGCAGCACCAGTAACTTGGTCGTTTTTGGAAGCTCCTCTCCTGCTCTTACCGGCAGACCCACTGCTGCCAGCAGGAGCAGCAGACGCTGAGGGGGAAGCACTGGCAGAGGCAGAGGGGGAGGAGGGGTCATTGGCACTCAGGAATCGGGCCACAGCCGGTGCCAGTGTCTTGATAAAAATCTCTTTCCCCACGTCTCTACGCTTCCCTCCCTTCTCTGCTCCTCCTGTCCCCCCTGCTCCGGCCCCTCCTGCTCCTGCTCCTGCTGCTGCCCCTTTCCCTCGCTGGTTCGCTCCTCCTCTCCCCCGCCCCCCACCTCCTTTGTCACTCAGTGATGAAACCGCAGGTGCTGCAGCCGCTCCTGCTACTGCTTCCTGTTGTGGTGCTGGTGCAGCAGCAGCAGCAGCCGTAGCAGCAGTAGGAACAGGGGCCGTAGCAGTGGTAGCCTGCACAGGCGCAGCAGCAGCAGGAGGGGCAGCAGCAGCAGGAGGAGGAGGGGCAGGAGGAGGAGCCATGGGCATGGCAGGAGTGGCAACCGGAACAGCAGCACCATCAGTATCCATAGGCACAGCTGCTGCTGCTGCTGCTGCTGCTGCTGCTGCTGCTGCTGCTTGCCCCTCCATGGACCCAAATCCAGCAGATGATCCCAAGGCTCCACCAGTCGCCGCCTGTCCTAGTGCACTGGCCATGCCACCTCCTCCCTGTGTGGCAACACCTGCCCCTGCCCCTGCCCCACCAGTACCACCTGCACCAGATGCACCTCCCCCGATCTCCATCAGATCGTGCCCGAATGTGCCGTACCCGTCCACTTCCGTCCACAGGTCCGCTAACGGCCAAACGTCGCCACCCAGTGCTCCAAGCCCCGTGGCACCACCACCCACTCCCCCTCCCATTCCTCCCTCGATCCCCCCTCCCATACCCCCGCCCATCCCCCCTCCCATCCCTCCCCCCATCCCACCCCCCATCCCCCCACCCATTCCCCCTGTGAGCCCTCCTCCCCCGGCCCCAGCTGCTCCAAGCATTCCCCCATACGCCCCCACTCCACCTCCTCCCCCTGCTCCTCCATCCCCCATTCCCCCACCCATCCCCCCGCCCATCCCGCCGCCCATTCCCCCGCCCATCCCCCCACCAGCACCCCCTCTCACAGCAGCAGAGAGATTCATGGCCATAGAGCCAAGGACAGGCAGCGGGGCGGCAGCAGGGGCGGCAGCAGGGGCGGCGAGAGTAGTCTGGGCGGCGGACGGCAGCAGGCTGCCGGAACTGGCCGGCCGGCTGGCAGAAGGGGCGGGCGAGCCGCCCAAACTCTGCTGCTGCTGCTCCTGCTGCTGCTGTAAATGCTCCTGATGCAACTGTTCCTGCTGCTGCTGCTGCTGCTGCTGCTGCAGGTTCGGCGGAGGTTGCGACGGGACGAGGAGCGACGAGAGCGGGTGGATGGAGGAGGAATGGGGGAGACACCTGGGATGCAACACCGGCTCGAGAGCCAGCAGAGCAAAGGAGCAGAACGCAGCTACCTCCGTCCCTAGTTGTTGCCTCCCCTGCCGGAATATCCTGAGCGCTTGGCCGAGGTACGGTGGACGGTACTTGCACGGGGCTAGGAGCGAGGCCAGGAGCGCACGAGATGCTGGCAGCTGTAGCGATCTGATTGCACGGTCGGACCCGGGCGTCCAGGGCATGTGCGCGTGCGTGCTTGGGGAGTTGTAACCGGGAGTGGAGTTGAAATTGGAGTCGTAACCGCCGGTGCCGAGGGCGATGGCAGCGGTGCAGGTGAGTGCTGCGTCGACCTCCATCCTCCAGTGCTCCAGTAACAGAGGGCCGCCCTGAGAGTGCAGGGGAGAAGAGGAGAGCAGAGTGAGAGGGAACTTTAAAAGTGAGTTTCGTGCATGTGAGTGTCACGCAGGTGAGTGCTGCGTCGACCTCCATGCGCCCGTGCTCCGGCAAGAGAGGACCGCCCTGGGAGGTAGAGAAAGATGAGGAGAGGGGACGGGATGGGAGGGGAGGGGAAGACAAAATGCAAGTGAGTGACAAGCAGGTGAGTGCTGCGTCTACCTCCATGCGCCCGTGCTCCGGAAGCAAGGGGTCGCCCTGTGAGGGGAAGAAAGAAGAGGAGAAGGGAGGGGAGGGGAGGGGAGGGGAGGAGAAAAAGCATGTGAGTGTCGCGCGGTTGAGCGTAGCATCCACCTCCATTATCCGGTGCTCCGGGAGCAAGAGATCGCCTTAGGAGGGGAGAGATGAAGGGAGATGAACCCACACTACAATCCCACCCCCCTTCCCACATATACATTTCCCCTGCCCACACTCTGGCCCCAGTTCCACACTCCCTCCTATCCTTGCTCTCTCCCCTCCACTCTCGCCCATCACATTCTCTCCCCTCCACTCTCGCCCATCACATACTCTCCCCTCCACACACAGTCACCACCACACTCTCCCCACTACACTGCCCCCGCTGCACTCTTCCCCTCCCCCACACACTCACCGCAACAAGCAGCGCCTCTAGAGCCTCCAGAATGGCGATTTGCAGATCAACGGTCTGTAGGCACTGACTGCCCGAGATAACACCTGCCCCAGTTGCACCTCCCCCCGCGCCTCCCCCTGCACTTCCCCCTCCGCTGCCCGCTCCCCCCAGCTTCCCGCTGCTGCCTGCTGCAGCGCCGGGAGCCGCGTCGAATGCCATGCTGCCACCTGGCGAGCGTTGGTTGGTTGGCGAGAAGAGCGCCGGCACGGTCTGTTCGAGGTCTGTGATGCCCCGACCCACCACTATGGGAGCGATTTGCGTCATCATGCCTTTGGAAAGAAAGGAGAGGGCGTGGGAAAGAGAAAGGGGAGGGCGGCGAAAGGGGGTGGTGGAGAACAGGGGGATAACGGTTATGGCAGGTCACAGCATGTTGCCAGCTCTGTGATCCCGCGGCCCACCTCTATGGGGGCGACCTGTGTCATCACTACCTGAGCAGGCTATGGGGACTCATAAAACAAGAACCCATACTCACCAGCGCCCAGTGCATATTAAGTACTGCATGGAGTTTGTGTGCGTCGTATGGTAGAGCATAGCATTGCCCTGAAGAGCATTGACTGACTTTAACAAGTCGAGACTCACCAGTGCGCAGTACACATAGGGGGATGTGTGTGTGTGATGACTTGAGATGTGCGCGAAAATGAACTTGAAGGGACTTACCCGCGCCCAGCGCATAAAGGTACTGAGTGGCCGTGCGGTAACGCAGGGCCTTGAAAGGCAATGCTGTCGCGTCGTCTGCATGCATGCCACTCACCCCCGCCCAGCGCATAGAGGTATTGAGTGGCAGAGCGGTAGAGCAGCGCCTTGAAGGGCAGAGCAGTAGCGTCGTCCCCCGCTGCTGCTGCCGCCCGGGGAAAGGCCGACACGAGCGTGCGTGATATGGTGGCTGCATGCATGCAACTCACCCGCGCCCAGCGCATAAAGGTACTGAGCGGCCGTGCGGTAGAGCAGCGCCTTGAAGGGCAGTGCTGAGGCGTCGTTCCCCCCTGCTGCTGCCTTGTATGAAAATGAACTTGAAGGGAGAAACCTAAAGGGAAAATGAACCTGAAGGGACTTACCCGCGCCCAGCGCATAGAGGTACTGAGTAGCCGTGCGGTAGAGCAGCGCCTTGAAGGGCAGTGCCGTGGCGTCGTCCCCTGCTGCTGCTGTCCGACGAAAGGCCGACACGAGCGTATGTGATATGGTGGCTGCATGGGGCAGGATGTGGCTGTGAGGGGGAAAGAGAGGGAAGAGGGGGGGGGGGGGGGGAAGAGGAGAAGGATGGAGTTGAGCAAGCTTGTGGTGAAAGGCTGACACGAGTGTGTGTGAGATTAAGGCTGCATGGGGTAGAATGTGGCTGAAAACAAGGGAACGAGGGGGGAGGAGGGAGTGGGAAGGGAAGGAGGGAAGGAAGTGGGGGAAGAGGGAAGGAGTGAAGGGTGGAAGTGAGAAAGTGCATGGTACATAGCCAGCCGAAGATTCACAGATTTTTCTCACTTCCTCAACACACCACTTGATCATTACATCAGTGGTAAGTTTCTACCTTCCTCCACCACACCACACCACACCACACCACACCCACTTTCTCACTCCCCCCAGCCACCACTTTCACTTCCTCACTACCTCCACCCCTACACACTCACTTCCTCACGCCCTGCAATGCCGCCAGCATCATCCTCAACCCAGCACACTGCAGCGCCGGCAGCTCCACACACAGCGCCAGCTGGCGGGCGGCAGAAAACGCCGAGCCCATGCTGTCCGGCCCTCCTCCCGCATCAAACCCATCGCCCCCCCCCCCACCTCCTCCTCTCCCTCCTCCTCGCCCACCAGAGCTGGAAGCAAGAAGGGAGAGGGGTATGACCATCCCTGTGCCCTCCACTTGCGTGAGGCGAATGACGGCATCGGCTGACACAAGGCGGTGGGCGAGGGCCAGCAGCGCGGAGAGGGGCGCTGGGACCTGGGAGGAAGGAGGGGGGGGAGGGGAGGGAAGAGAAGGCGGGAAGGAGGGAAGGAGGGAAGGGAAGAAGGGAAGGGAGGGAAGGAGGGAAGGGAAGAAGGGAAGGGAGGGAACGGGTAGAGAACAGCGAGGAGAAAGGAGGAGTCAAGACAGGAGAGGGAGGGAAATAACCATCCTAGAGCCCTTCACTTGAGTGAGGACGGCATCGGCTGAGACAAGGCGGTGGGCAAGAATTAGCAGGGCGGAGAGGGGCGTTGGGACCTGGGAGGGGAGGGAGGGGTGGGAAGGGAGGGAAGGGAGGAGGGGTAGGGTAAACAACAAGAGAGGAGATAGGAGGGGTGAAGGTAGAAGCGAGAGAGGGGTATGACCATCCCTGTTCCCTTGACTTCGGTGAGTCGAATTATGGCATCAGCTGAGACAAGGCAGTAGGCGAGAGCAAGGCGTAGAGGGGTGTATTGTCAACACTACATGAGAGCACCAGCTCCATGCACGCACGAATGCATGCACGAATGCATGCATGCACCACGTCGGACAGCTAACCCACGGGTGCAGGAAACCCCTGAGTGATCGCCAGCCGGCACGCGAGGAGCATTGAGAGGTGCCTGAAATCACCGTTCCAGCCATATCGATGCATTCCCCCCCACCCAATTGAGCAACAACCACCGGTGCAGGGAAAACCCAACCCACCGCTTTTGAGTCGACTCAAAAGCCATATCGATGCATTCCCCCCCACCCAATTGAGCAACAACCACCGGTGCAGGGAAAACCCAACCCACCGCTTTTGAGTCGACTCAAAAGCCATATCGATGCATTCCCCCCCACCCAATTGAGCAACAACCACCGGTGCAGGGAAAACCCAACCCACCGCTTTTGAGTCGACTCAAAAGCCATATCGATGCATTCCCCCCCACCCAATTGAGCAACAACCACCGGTGCAGGGAAAACCCAACCCACCGCTTTTGAGTCGACTCAAAAGCCACATCGATGCATTCCCCCCCACCCAATTGAGCAACAACCACCGGTGCAGGGAAAACCCAACCCACCGCTTTTGAGTCGACTCAAAAGCCACATCGATTCATTCCCCCCCACCCAATTGGGCAACAACCACCGGTGCAGGGAAAGCCCAACCCACCGGAGCAGAGAACCCCTGGGTGATGGTCAGCTGGCACGTCAGCAGCAGCGCCTGCAGCCGCGGCACCACCCGCCGAAACACCGCCTCGGGATCTCCTCCGCTGCTCCCGCTGCTGCTGCTGCCGTTTGCGCTTGAATTCGACGCCTGGTTCCGCCCCTGCTGCCCCTGCTGCCCCTGCTGCCCCTGCTGCCCCTGCCCTCCTGATTCCTGCTGCTGCTGGTCGTCCTGGGTGCAGTTAGCAGCGATCCAGTGTGCATGCTCGGGCACCAGAGGCACTGGTAGTGCTGCGCTCTTGGAGTGGAGGAGCGTTGCCAGGGCCTTGGATCGCACAGATTCTGCCATCATGCCAGGAAGAATGGGGGGTTGAAGGAGGAAGGTAGAAAATCAGGTGAGCAGCGATCCAGTGTGCGTGCTCGGGCACGAGAGTGATTTTTGCGAATTCTCAAAAATCGATCCAGTGTGCATGCTCGGGCACGAGAGGCACTGGCAGTGCTGCGCTCTTGGAGTGGAGGAGCGTTGCCAAGGCCTTGGATCGCACAGATTCTGTCGTGTGGGTTCAGAGGCGGAAGGTTGGAAGGGTGATGGAAAGAAGGAACGGAACCAATTCAGCACACAAACGAATACCAGCACGCATGGCAGCACCCACCCACATGCACCAGCTCGCACACCCTCGCTTTTGAGAATTCTCAAAAGTGATTTCAATATAGCCAGCTCGCCATCCTCGCTTTTGAGAATTCTCAAAAGTGATTTCAATATAGCCAGCTCGCACACCCTCGCTTTTGAGAATTCTCAAAAGTGATTTCAATATAGCCAGCTCGCCACCCTCGCTTTTGAGAATTCTCAAAAGTGATTTCAATATAGCCAGCTCGCCACCCTCGCTTTTGAGAATTCTCAAAAGTGATTTCAATATAGCCAGCTCGCACACCCTCGCCAGCTCATAGCTGCGCCCCTTACCATCCTGGAAGCAAGAGAAGCAAGAGAGTAGAGTATGGAGGTCGATTTTTGAGGCGCCTCAAAAGTAGAGTATTGAGGTCGGCAAGGGTGGAGAGCAGCAGGTGACGCATGGCCAACACTGCTACTCACACTACCACCTGCACGCCCACCCCTCCCTCCACGTTCCACGCCCCTTACCATCCTCGAAGCCCGAGAGCAGAGTGTCGAGGTCCGCATGCGTGGAAAGTAGCAGACGGCGCATGAAGGCTGACCACAATGAGGGGTCACCGGAGGCACGGGGGAGTAGCACCAGCAGGCTGCAGCAGGACTGGTGTGGGAGTGGGTGGGGGAAGAGGGAATGCTCCTTGACATGAGTTGAATGGCGGATGTCACAAGTTGGGAAATGACAAGCTGACTCTACAGTACAGTCTACTACTACGAGTCATTCTGGATGTGGATGATGGATGCAGGCACTTAAAATGATGGATGCAGGCGCAAGCAAGCACTAGGAGATGGCAGCTTGGCCACACACACACGCGCGCACACATGCGAACATGCGCATCACCCATACCCGCATGAAGAATCAGACGATTGGAAATGAAGAGCCGACTCTACAAGTCACCGTGGATCCCCGAAACAACCCCCCACCCCACACTCACATGGACTATGGATGCGGGTGCATTGGGAGAAGACAGCTTGCCCACCAGCAGAGCCTCCATCTGCAGTTAGTTGGGGGCGGGGAAGGGTAGATGGTTCTAAAAGAGATTGTTTGGGATTTTTTAGCAGCCTCAAATATCGATGAATGCAGTTGCATTGGGAGAAGATAGCTTGGCCACCAGCAGAGCCTCCATCTGCAGTTAGTGGGGGGGTGGTGTGGTGTGAAGGGGGGATTGAAAAAAAGATGTCTGAGTCGACGCAAAAGTCACTTTGGTGCATAGAGTGATTCAATGCACACCAGGGGTGTCGCGTTTTGAGGCGCCTCAAAACTACACCAGGGGTGTCGCATGGAGGTAAGGGCGGAGAGGAGAGCGGAGGAGAGCGGAGGAGAGCGGAGGGAGGATGGAATCCGGAATCTACATAGAAAGCGCAATAAGAAGAACTATGCTGCAATAACAGCATTATAGTAAAAAAATAGGAATTACACCTTGTGCGCTCATACTGCGGCAGTAGTAACAATAACAGTGAAGATACTAATAACGATAAAAACATGAAACATTGATTACATACTGCTGGAACGTGATGCTTGAAGCTGGAGGGGAAGGAGCGAAGCAACAGCGAGAGCAGCGAAAGGCACACGCTCTGGCAGACAGGCGAGGGTGCATAAGACAAGCAGAGGGGGTGGGAGGGAGGGAGGGCGGGAGAGAGGGAGGGAGGGAGGGAGGGAGGGAGAGCGGGAGAGAGGGAGTGAGGGAGGGAGGGAGGGACGTCAAAAAACACCAGCAGAGTAAATTCTGAATGCATCTGAATAGAATTCAAGTGGTTCTCAACAAGCAGAAAGACGATTTCAGATGCCAGTATGCCACCCACCCATGCCTGTGTGCTCTCTGTGCCGCCCATCATCTCCGCCAGAAACGGCCAAAGCTTGCCGGCCAGAGTGCCAGCCTCCTTGCGCACACTCTGCACATGAGACAAAGTTGCCAGCCTGGCATGAAAAGAGAGGGAGTGGAACACACGCATTAGCACGGTGAGAATGGTGAGCATGGTGCGCACGAATGCCATGACGTGGCGTGTGCGACAGGGGGGTGAGTGAGTGCACACAACACATGTAAACGGTGGTAACCTAGCATGACATTCCACACCTCACCTGGAAAAGAGGTCAGCAAGGGCAGCAGCAGCAGCCACACGCACAAACATCGTATCTCGTACTACGGCCTCCTTGTCCTTCCCACTCCCCTTCTCCTTCTCCTTCCCTCTACCATTCCCCTTCCCCTCCTTCCCCTCCTCTCCGTCTGCTTCCCCCTCCTCATCCCCCTCCTCTTCCCCTTCCTCCTCCTTCCCCTCTTGCTGCTGTTGTGTGCTCTTCTCGCTCCCCCCACCGCCTCCTTTTGTCTTATTCGCCTTCAGCAGGGCGGCTAGCCGCCCCCACCACTTGGCGTACGTGTCAACCACGCGCTGGGCTGTGCTCTCTGCACACGTGGCACCTGCCAGCACACATGCCGCCCACCGATTGGCGGGCTGCAAGGAGGACACGAGGTGGAGTGTAGGAGAAAAGAGTGGGAGAGGGAAGGGGAGAGCTGGTTGGGTTAACTTCGATGAAAGGAGGAAAAAAGGAGAGGTAAGGAAAGGTTAGGACTTTTAACAGAGCCATGACGTGGCGACACACTCTCATACATACACATCACTTCCTCCCTTTACCTCCGTCCCTTTCTTCCAGCAACCCTCGGAACTATAAACCCAACCCACCAGCGGAGATGCCAGTAACGCGAACACCCTGCTGCACCACGCGTCCACAGCCCGCCTCCTGGGGTCATTATTACTCCCCACGGCCGCCCAGTCCGGTTCCACTGCCAGCACGTGTTGCTCCCGCAGCACTCCCACCGCCGCGCGCACCCTGCCCATGTCAATAGGGTCCTTGGGCGACGCGGGCAGGAAGGACGTGAGCAGAGACTGGAGGAGACGCAGACGCAGACGAGGGTCCTGTGCGGTGCAAATGGGAAGTGGGGGGTTGGGGGAATGGGGGTATGGGTTAGGGCGGACGCAGCACCCTGCCCATGTCGATGGGGTCCTTGGGGGAGGCTGGCAGGAAGGACGTGAGTAGAGACTGCAGCAGGCGCAGGCGCAAGCGGGGGTCCTGCGGAGGGAAGGGGGAGCGGGGCCATGGGGAATCTTTTGAGTCGACTCAAAAGTCTCCTGTGGAGGGAAGGGGGAGCGGGGCCATGGGGAATCCGGAGTGGAAAATGGGGGGATAAAGGAGAATGCAGTAACAACCCCACGGCCGCTACGGCTGCCACGAACGCGGATGAAGTCCCTCCACCCACGGCACGGCGGCCCAGTCCGGTTCCACGGCCAGCACGTGTTGCTCCTGCAGCACCCCCACTGCTGTTCGCACCCTGCCCATGTCAATAGGTTCCTTGGGCGACGCGGGCAGGAAGGAGGCCAGGAGGGACTGGAGGAGACGCAGGCGCAGGCGGGGGTCCTGTGCGGTGCAAATGGGAGGTCGAGGGGTGGGGGGGGTGGGGAATGAAATGGAATGGGGTAGGTAGGGCGGACATAGCACCCCCACGGCCGCCCAGTCCGGTTCAACGGCCAGCACGTGCTGCTCTCGCAGCATCCCCACAGCTGCGCGCACCCTGCCCATGTCGATGGGGTCCTTGGGGGAGGCGGGGAGAAAGGACGCCAGGAGAGACTGCAGCAGGCGCAGGCGCAGGCGGGGGTCCTGTGCGGTGCAAATGGATGAAATGGAATGGGGCAGGGCGGACGCAGCATCCCCACAGCTGCGCGCACCCTGCCCATGTCGATTGGTTCCTTGGGCGAGGCGGGGAGAAAGGACGCCAGGAGGGACTGCAGCAGGCGCAGGCGCAGACGGGGGTCGTGTGGGGGGGAAAGGGGAGTGGGGGGATGGGGGATGAAATGGAATGGGGCAGGGCGGACGCAGGGGCAGTCGGGGAGTCCTGAGGGGAGAAGGTGGGAGCAGGGGGAGGGGGAGCAGGGGGAGCGGGGAGCGGGGGGAGTGGGGGGCGGGGGGAGTGGGGAGCGGGGGAGTGGGGGGGGGGGGGGGGAGTGGGGAGCGGGAGGAGTGGGAGGTGGGGGAATGGTGCATGGACAAGGCACAGCATGCTTTTTACGGCTATTGTGGCGCCTCAAATAAGGGAGTGGGGGAAGGGTGGAGTGGATGAATGGTGCATGGATAGCGGTGAGAGGTGGGGGGAAGGGAGGGGAGAGCTAAAGTGAACGAATTTGCTGGGAAAGACCAAGTGCCGCGCGACAAACGGCGGCCGTCGGGGTTAGGGTTTCCGCAAGAAGAGATCATTCTTTTCCCGCCGCCAGGCCATATCCACGCGAAGTGGCAGAATTTAGGGTTTCCGGACTTAACGTTCGAGCGCGCCTGACGGCTGACCGCACCTGCGCGCCGGTGAGCACGTCGTTGCCCATCAGGACCGGTTTGGCCGCCATTCCCGCCGCCGGATGCGGCTGCTGCGATCGCAACGACTGCATCGATCCTAATGTCCTAGGTCAAATCAGATCCGATCCAACTCCCCCGTGATTCGCGGCAATGTCTGTTCCAGCCTTGCGTTGTGGGCTTGCGACTCGCCCCTTCTTTCCTCCGCTTTGCGACCGCTTAGCGCCTCGCTAACGCCAAAAGCGGCGGCACACGCGGGGATGAGGTCGCGCACGTTTTACGATGGTAGGAACTCTAATAGAGATACGAAGGTCAAGGCAGAAGCGAAACTATAGATGACCTCTATAAATGTAGTATATCTGGAGCTTATTAAAGACAGATCTCTAAGGCGTACAACTCGAGCAAGTTACAGTAGGTTACTCTAGGGAGTAACTTAAGAGGCGAGGCCGGATTGTGCGAGTGCCACAGACGCGAGGACGGAGGTGTCGCAGCGGAATCTAGGGAAGAAAACTCGCCTACTCAGCGGGCCCCCCCTCCGTTGGCTGAAAGAACCTGGAAGAATGCACGGGGTTTAGGGCAGAAGGACGAATGCCAGTGTGATTGGGCTGGCGTGTGATTCGAACAGAACAGAACAGACTCGCAAAATGGAACAGGAGGAAATTCCAAATCCCGCAATCCGCCGAGTCCGTTTCGCAAAAAGGCGCGACTGTGGCCTCTTGCCCTAATTGTAGAAGAGACGGGAAAAGCAGTTGACGTCGCGATCAATCAGCGTCAGCGATGAAACGTACTTGTTCGTACACCACAGGGTTTCCCCTCGTTTAGACCTCTCGAACAGGACATGGTCAGAACCGAGGTCACAGTTACCTAAACTTTGGCGGTGCTGGGTCAGAAAATGAAGCCACTTGTCTGCACCTGGTCCCACAAGGACCCTGCATCTCATCGGTATTGACGAATCACGAAACTTGCGGGGAGGACAACCACCCCACCGATGGCGATTCGCAAAACCGCCTTCAGTGGTTGCGTTGTTTCATAATCGCCATCGCTCGAATGCCAACTCGCGAACTGGTTTCGCTCAGCTTGTTGCGCCTCAAGAATACCGTTGCCCAACCAACCAGGCAGCACATCGCCACCGCCGATGCTTTTGACAAATCTGTTCTCTTGTGATTACCTCGCTACAGTACCGTAGCCATCTGGCGGAAAATCAACTTCTGCGGAGAACGGGATTTTTCTGTACAATATTGCATACTACAATCAACCCTGAAATCCAAGACCAACCATAGCATTTGCACATACTATGAAGTGGGATGGGATGGGACCTTCCACTGGCAAGCAATAGTTATTCAGGCTCTCATTAACAAGATCAGGTGCGGAAAAAGGGCCAGAGACAGCTGGAGGGTGCTCGCTAGAGAAAGCAAAGCTTGCGAAGGGAAGCGGTGGAAGGAAGGATAGGAGAATTACCGTACTGAGAGCAGTGCAGGTCGGAAGGAGGGTGTGATTCAGAAAACAACAAAAACTAATTGATACCGGTGAGGAGAAAGGGAGTAAGGGGTGTGAGGGAAGGAACTAAGGAGGAAATGGAAGAGGCGGCAGCAGGAGAGAAAAGAGATAAGAAGCTGAGGAGAGATAACACTGCTTATGTACGTAAACAAGTATCACCTAATCAACCACAACCTTGGCAACGCATCAAGAGGCAAACCCGCAGCACATACTGAAATACTAGCACCTGAGACCTGACAGGCAAGCATCTCGTCATGACATTTTCCCACTGAGACAATTATTCCCAATTCCCATGCCATTTCCACTGAGTTGCAAACCATCACATGCAAACGGATTCAGCATGCTCCTGCGTCCCTCGCTGCGAGTGCTGCTGCTGTTGCTGCTGTCTCTCTTCTGCTGTAGCGGCTGCCGAGGGTGTCTGTAGTGGCTGCTGTAGCGACTGCTGTAGCGACTGCTGTCCCTCTTCTGTTGTGGCGGATGCTGCAGCAGCTGCTGTGGTTCTACTGTAGAGGTAGCTGTAGCTGCTGCTGTTGGCGTATCTGGGAAAGATATGAGGTGATCGCTTGCTTCCAACCATGGCTCGCAGTGGATCTTGGACAGGTGCAGAGTGGTGATGAGCAGTTGGAGGGGGTACTTCGGCAATAGGATGGCAGGAGGGTGAAAAATGGTGATAAGCGGTGTAAAGAGATGACAAGAGGGTGACGCGAGATGACACACAGGTGACACGAGATTGACATGAGGTGACACGGAGTGACAAGAGGGCAAAAAGAGGAGACAAGGGGGTGTCACGAGGTTACAGGAGGTGACACAAGGTGATGACAACAGGTCCCGTGTGGTGAAGGCTGGGCTCTGGTGAGACACACACAGGGAGATGGCGGCAAGGCAGGCAACAGTCGCAAGTAGGTAGGTTCAGGACCTGCACTGGCCAACCAGCGATGGGGAGGGCAGAACCAAAGGAAGGCATTGTAGCGAAACGGTTCAGGTATACCAACTGTGACAGCACAGCAAAATGAAAATCAATACTTAGACTTAAACAGCGACTGGGATATGGGAGAACTTGGATTAAGCCGCGTGAAAACAGATTTTTTAGCGGTTGTGGTACCAGGTAGCTCCTGTTTTGAGACGACTCAAAGCCCTATTTAGTGTAAGTTTAAGATGTGGAAGCAAAAACCTGAACCAATCCGAGTGGCACTATACGTCGCAAAGTGACAATTCAAGTGGAAATATTTGTAACAACCCAAGTGGTAACATGACTGGCATGTTCCCAGCCGTGACTTTTCCACTGCCACTTACCTAAGTGTCAGTACTTTGGTCGCTTCATCGGCCCTCCAGACCCCGACCCCATAGGCCTCTTCCCCATAGGCGGAGGGGGCCCCCTCCCGCTCCCCCCTTTCCCCATCGGCCTCCCCCCACTCCCTCCCCCTCCCCCTGGCCTCCCCCCATTGCTCCCCCCCATCGGCCTCCCCCCCCCCCCTCCGGATTTTCCCATAGGCCCCTTCCCCATCGGCCTCCCCTCTGGTCGCCCGCTCCAACCCCCTTTCCCCCCGCTCCCTCCCCCTCCCCCTCCTCCTCCCCTCGAATCCCCAGGCCTCCCCCCACCCCCACTTCCCCCTCCTCCACCCCCACCCCCTCCCCCACCCTTCCTCCTCCTCCTCCTCTCCCCCTCACTATCACTCTCCTCCCCCTTCTCCCGATCCTCCCTCAAAGCCTTTGCCTCTAGCTCATCCCAGGTCGGACCCTCCTCCTCCTCCTCTTCCTCCTCCTCCTCCTCCTCCTCCTCACTATCCACCACACTCTCATCATCCTCGCTCTCGTCATCGTCATCGTCGGATGCAGCCTCCTCCAGATCCGACGGCTCGTACGCCTGCGATTCCTCCGACTCCTCCCCTTCGCTATCTGACGCCTCGAGATTCAGGAACTCCCACCCGCCGTCCGCCAGAAAAGCCTCGGGATCGCTCATAATATTCTGCAGAATTGCCTTCCAGCTGAGATTCAACCGCGACTCATAGTACTTGATGTTCATGGAATTCAGCCATTCTTTCACCGAGTCGAGCGACGTGCTCGGGATTGCGTCGATCCGAAGCACATCCCGCTTGAAATCCTTGAACACAATCGCCATGTCGAAAGTTTTCTGCCCAAGACCCACGCGCTCCAGATTGACAATCTCGACCTCGTTTAGAGTGACCACCAGGAAGGGCACTTCGATAAGCTCCACGAGGCAGTTCACCGTCGGTACGATGAACGCGGACGACTTGTGCGGCACGCCGTGAAACCCTAATTCCCGGAACGGCACGTCGAATTCGAGGTCCAGCCGAGCCAGCTCCCGATCCTTCTCCCACAGAGAATGCACCGCGCTGACGAAGGACTTGAACTCTCGGTTGATCTTGCTCCGCCGCTCCCGCTCCCTCTGCTCCTCTTCGATTTCGTCCGGGTCGTAGGCCGAGCGGCGCGAGCCGCCCACCGTTTGCACCACCTCCATGACCTCGGCGAAAAACTGCACGTCTTTTGTCTTTTTCTTGCCGACCATGATGGGGTTGTGCAGGTGGAAGTGCAGCAGCGTGATCATCTCGTTCTCGGCTGGCTGGAAAAAGGCGTGCTTGATGTTGCCATACATCACCTCCACCCTCTCGTCTGGCTGGTGGGTTGGGTGAGGGGGAACAGAAGGTTCGACCAGGGTGAAGAAAGGGAAGGAAGAGGGGGAAAGAGGAGACGGTTGGAAGAAGGCGTGCTTGATATCGCCATACATCACCTCCACCCTCTCGTCCGGCTGGTTGGGAAACGGGTGAGACAGGGAGGGATAACAGGGACTGGAGAACCGGGGAAAAGGCAGGGGGAAAAGGCGGCATGGGACGGGGGGGGGCAGGGGAAGGGAAGAGGGAGAGGTTGAGTGGCATGTCCCCGCCTTGCCTCGCCTGGCTCCTGCGGACCATGATGGGGTTGTGCAGGTGCGCACCACCCACAGCACAACTCACCTTAGCGGTGGAATACCGAAACCCGTTCAAATGCGCTTCCAGCGACCCAGTAAGCTTGCGCCCCTTCCCTCCGAACGAGGGTCGAATCCAGAGGTCCGGCAGGCGGGGCGGGCGGCCCTTGCTGAGCTGGAGCTTCTCCTGCGTGACAAGTGTCGCTCTCTCCGCGCGCTCCGACTCCCGCTGCCGCACGTGCTTGCTCATCGTCTTGATCAGTTGCACCACCTGGTGGTTGTCAACAAAAACAGATGGGCGTTTGGGTTGAGTACCATGGGGGGATTAAAGGAAGAGGCTAGCATGCGGCTTTGGTGTAGCTACTGCAACTCCCACTGGTACAGCACAAGTTGCACCGGTTACATGGTTACAGGTCACACGTTACTTGGTTCACATGCCAGGAATCTCTGGAATAGGAAAAAGAGCTTCTTGATGAGAAAGCTGTTGGGAAACTTGTACATGGGCAGGTCAGTTAAAACTTGTGACTTGGGCAGGTCACATGCACGATAGACAAGGTTACCTGATTGACTACCTGATTGACTACCTGATTGACTGACCACCTGCACGAAATGCCCATACCTGATTCGCGTGTCTGGAGTCAGTTGACTTGAAAGAAAGCTCTTTGATGAAGATGCTATCAGGGAATTTCTGCATGGGCAGGTCCGCAGCGCTGAAGCCGGCGCCGGGCACGTTGAAGATGATGCGGATGTAGATGTGACCTCCGTCCTGCTGGCTGGTGACGTTGCGGATCATGCTCACGTGGAACGGCACGAGGAGGCCGTAGATGGGCAGTAAGACTGACTCGTGGCGCTGGTCCACCTGGGAGAGAGGGAAGCAGAGATGGCGGAGGAGAGGGGTGGAGAGGGATGGAGAAACAGAGGGACACCAGAGCAGTGGCAAAAGGTGAGGAGAGACAAACGGTGAGTGGCACTGAAGCCAGCGCCCGGCACGTTGAAGATGATGCGGATGTAGATGTGCCCTCCGTCCTGCTGGCTGGTGACGTTGCGGATCATGCTCACGTGGAACAGCACCAGGAGGCCGTAGATGGGCAGTAGGATTGACTCGTGGCGCTGGTCCACCTGCAAACAGGAGAGATGAGTAGAGGGAGAGGGAGAGGGAGAGGGAGAGGGAGAGAGAGAGGGCGAGGGCGAGGGCGAGGGCGAGGGAGAGGGAGAGACGCACAAGCATGTGAGTGAGATACTGGCTGGTCACGTTGCGGATCATGCTCGCGTGGAACGGCACGAGGAGGCCGTATATGGGCAGCAGCACCGACTCGTGCTGCTGATCCACCTGGGAACAGAGGGGCAGCAAGAAGTGGGTCGATAGAGGGAGAATAGGGGGGTGATTTGGGTAGAAGAAGAGGGGGGAAAATAGAAGAAGAGGGGGGAAAATAGCCGTCCTGCTGGCTGGTGCTGACGTTGCAGAGCGACTTTCGTGGGGCCTTAAAAGCCGTCTCTATACCCACAATTTTGAGCGCCTCAAAAGAACGGCACCAGCAGCAGCCCGTAAATGGCACCAAAACCGACTCCCACCTGGATCTTGTAGGCCTTCACAGCAAGGGGGATCTCGTCCACATCTCAATACGACACCAGCTCCCCAGTCTGCCCCTCCGCACCCTCGCCCTCGTGTGCGCCCAGCCCCCCAGCAGCCAGGCGCCAGGCCATCCATCTGTCACTGTCCCCCCCACCACACCACCACCCACCTGGATTTTATAATCCTTCATCGCAAGGGGATTTCGTCCACATCACCGTACGACACCAGGTCCCCTGTCTGCCGCTTCGCCCCCTCACCCTCGCCCTCACGCGCACCCAGTCCCCCAGCAGCAAGCCGCCGGGCAGTCTCTTCGATCTTCTGCTTTGCCAGCTCCGCCTGGCTGTCTGTCACTGTCTGTCCCACCCACCACCCACAAACTAACAGCTAGCTCCGCCTGGTGCTGCCACCTTCATCGCCAGAGGAATCTCCTCCCCATGCTCACACATGCACCCACATGGACCACAGGAGCCCAACCCACCCACCTACCTGGATCTTATAGTCCTTCATGGCCAGAGGGATTTCGTCTACATCCCCGTACGACACCAGGTCCCCCGTCTGCCTCTTCGCCCCCTCCCCCTCTCTCGCGAGCACCCAGCCCCCCAGCAGCAAGCCGCTGCGCCGTCTCCTCGATCTTCTGCTTCGCCAGCTCCGCCTGGCCGCCTGATTTGTTTTATTTTTTTTTTTTTTTATGTAGCACCCATCCACCTCAATTTCACTGTCCTTCATTGCAAGGGAGGGGGGACGGGGAAGTGCTCACCGATAACGCGACTCAAACAGCCCACCTGGATCTTGTAATCCTTCATCGCGAGGGGAATTTCGTCCACGTCTCCATAGGATACCAGGTCCCCCGTCTGCCTCTTGGCCCCCTCGCCCTCGCGTGCACCCAGCCCGCCAGCAGCAAGCCGCCGGGCGGTCTCTTCGATCTTCTGCTTCGCCAGCTCCGCCTGGTGCTGCCGCCGCAGCTCTTCCTTTGTGGCCTCTTGATTCTCCGACCGCAGGTGAGCACGGGCGAACACAGCAGGTTCTCCTGCCCCTGCTGCCTCTGCTGGACGTTTTCCCTTGTCTGCTTCGTCCTCTTCTTCGTCTTCACCCTGGTACAAGGCATCAGCACAGCAGGTGGGGGGGTTAGGGAATGCGAGGGGAAGATGCAGAAAGGAAAGCTCGAGCTGCTCAATTGCATTCGCCCCTGGTGCTGCCGCAGCAGCTCCAACCCGCCTCCTGCTTCTGCTGCTCGCTTGGCAAGTCCCCCCTTTGAGTAGGCTTAACCCCCCACATTGCGCCCACCTTGAAAAGGAAAGCCATGTCGGCAAAGGACTTGAAGGGCGGAGGCAGTGGCAACGTCCACCCAGCGGTCATTGTCAGCAGCGCCCCTTGAGGGAGCACCTTGACCCCACACGTTGCCCACCTTGAGGGAGCACGTAATATCGCACGAGCAGACCCTTACCCCACACCATCCCTCCTACCTTGAGGGAATAAGCCAAATCAGCAAAGGACTTGGAGGCAGAGGCAGTGGTAACGTCCACCCAGCGGTCCTTGTCAGCAGCGCCCCTTGAGGGAGCACCACAGTCCCCCCTTGACCCCACATGTCTCCCACCTTGAGGGAGAACCACAGTCCCCCCTTGACCCCACACGCCACCCACCTTGAGGAAGGACGTAATACCCCACGTAGCAGACCCTTACCCCCCCCTTCCCTCCTACCTTGAGGGAATTAGCGACATCAGCAAAGGACTTGGAAGCAGAGGCAGTGGCGACGTCCACCCAGCGGTCCTTGTCAGCAGCGCCCCTCACCGTCACCATATCCGCCACCAGAAATGCATACTTCCTCAGCTTCGCACTCCCCCCCTTGCCCTCATTCACCCTACACTGCGATTTTTGAGGCGCCTCAAAAAGCGCATACCTTGAGGAGGGAAGTAAGCCTCTACACGCCAAGCTTTCAGCATGCCCACCTTGAGGGAATAAGCGACGTCAGCGAATGATTTAGAGGCAGAAGCAGTAGCAACGTCCACCCAGCGGTCCTTGTCAGCAGCGCCCCTCACCGTCACCGTATCCGCAACCAAAAGTGCATACTTCCTCAGCTTCGCATTCCCACCCTTCCCCTCCTTGCCCCCTTCCTTTCCGGCCTCTGCGTGTCCGTTCGCCTCGCCACCCTCCTCCTCCCCTCCGACCTCTGGGTTGGTCAGGCCATGCAACCCCAGCACCACGTTGAACGCCATGCCCGATTTCACCGTTCGCTCGTTCTTGGCGTTCAAAGTCAAACCAGCTTCTCGGAACTCTGAGCCAAGAGGGAAGGAGGGAGAGAGGAGGGGAACGGAAGGGGGGACGGGAGGGGAAACCATGAACGGGAGTGGGAAGCACACTCGAAACTGGGGTTGGTGAGGCCACGCAGCCCCAGCACCACGATGAACGCCATGCCCGAATTCACTGTCCGCTCGTTCTTGGCGTAGAGCATCAGACCAGCCTCTCGGAACTCTGAAGAGCAGCACAGCACAGGGCAGCACAGGGGGCATGATAGGAGCAGTGAGTCGTGAGTCTTTCCTTGCAGCCCCAGCCCAGCACGACGTAGAAATGCCAGCTCCAAACCGCTCCAAACCGCTCCATCCGTCCTTCCACTCTTGGCGTTGAGCGTCAAACCAGCCTCTCGGAAATCTGCAGTGCAGCACAAACGCATTCCACACTCAAAACGATGCCTACCCCTGCACCCCTTCTCACCGCTGCCTATGCCAGCTCCGGCGCCTCCCTCTCCACCACCGCCACTGCTGCTCGATACACATCCCCCAGCGGCACCCCACCCCACCCCACACCACACCTGTCAGCCCTGCAACCACGCTCCAACCCCCACTCACCAATGCCTATGCCAGTGCCGGCGTGTTTGGTCAAATGAGGCACCATCTCTGGGGCCTCCCTCTCCACCACCGCCACTGCTGCCCGGTAGACGTCTCCCAGCCGTACCCCCGGCTTGATCGCTGCAATCGCTGCTTCCTGTGCCCTCAGCAGCACCTGGTGACGCGGTGGGAGGTGAAGAAAAACAGAAACCAAAGGGAGCAACCAAGCCAAAGCTGAGTTGCGAACAAAGCTTCAAGGAAGAAAACGAAGGTTGAAGACAAAAGGAGTTTAGAGAGAATATTTGGGCAGGAAACTTACCCACCATCTCCCCTCATCTGGTACGTGTAAACAATGAATTTTGAGTCGTCCCAAAAGGAAACTTACTCAGCATCTCCCCTCATCTGGTATGCCTTCTCTCTCTCCCCTCACCTGATACGCCTTCTCCTGGGCCTTGGTGGCGTCTATGAGGTAGGTGCGCGCGACGTTGGAGCAGTAGGAGGTGTATCTGGCGCCGATGGCACAGATGATGCCACAGCTGATGGCACAGACGAATTCAACCCCTCCCTTTTCCCCTCACCTGATAGGCTTTCTCCTGCGCCTTGGTAGCGTCTATGAGGTAGGTGCGCGCGACGTTGGAGCAGTAGGAGGCGTATCTGGCACCGATGGCACAGATGATGCCACAGCTGATGGCACAGACGAATTCAACCCCTCCCTTTTCCCCTCACCTGATAGGCTTTCTCCTGCGCCTTGGTGGCATCAATCAGGTAAGTGCGCGCCACGTTGGAGCAGTAGGAGGCGTATCTGGCGCCGATGGCACAGATGATGACGCCCATGGAGTCGTAACACAGTGGCTCATCGCTGCTCACTGCTGACGCCCTCAGGTCATACTGCCCTCCGCTCTGCCAAGGGATGAACACAGGGGAGGGTGAGGGAAGAAAGAAGGGGCACAAGAGAGGGGATGGCGCAGATGATGACGCCCATGGAGTCGTAGCAGAGAGGCTCGTCGCTGCTCACTGCTGATGCTCGCAGGTCGTATTGCCCTCCGCTCTGCCAAGGGATGAACACAGGGGAGGGTGAGGGAAGAAAGAAGGGGCACAAGAGAGGGGATGGCGCAGATGATGACGCCCATGGAGTCGTAGCAGAGAGGCTCGTCGCTCCTCACTGCTGATGCTCGCAGGTCGTATTGCCCTCCGCTCTGCCAAGGGATGAACACAGGGGAGGGTGAGGGAAGAAAGAAGGGGCACAAGAGAGGGGATGGCGCAGATGATGACGCCCATGGAGTCGTAGCAGAGAGGCTCGTCGCTGCTCACTGCTGATGCTCGCAGGTCGTATTGCCCTCCGCTCTGCCAAGGGATGAACACAGGGGAGGGTGAGGGAAGAAAGAAGGGGCACAAGAGAGGGGATGGCGCAGATGATGACGCCCATGGAGTCGTAGCAGAGAGGCTCGTCGCTGCTCACTGCTGATGCTCGCAGGTCGTATTGCCCTCCGCTCTGCCAAGGGATGAACACAGGGGAGGGTGAGGGAAGAAAGAAGGGGCACAAGAGAGGGGATGGCGCAGATGATGACGCCCATGGAGTCGTAACACAGTGGCTCGTCGCTGCTCACTGCTGACGCCCGCAGATCATATTGCCCTCCGCTCTGGGTGGGGTGAAGCAGCGAGGGGGTGGAGGTGGGGAGAAGAGCGAGGGGGGACAGGAGAGGTGATGGCTCAGATGATGACGCCCATGGAGTCATAACACAGCGGGCCGTCGCTGCTGCTCACTGCTGACGCCCTCAAGCCATACTGCCCTCCGCTCTGGGAGGGGAGAAAAACACAGGGGAGGGATGGGTGTGGGGGAAAGAGAGGGGAAGACTGAGATGGAATGGCTCAGATGATGACGCCCATGGAGTCATAACACAGCGGGCCGTCGCTGCTGCTCACTGCTGACGCCCTCAAGCCATACTGCCCTCCGCTCTGGGAGGGGAGAAAAACACAGGGGAGGGATGGGTGTGGGGGAAAGAGAGGGGAAGACTGAGATGGAATGGCTCAGATGATGACGCCCATGGAGTCATAACACAGCGGGCCGTCGCTGCTGCTCACTGCTGACGCCCTCAAGCCATACTGCCCTCCGCTCTGGGAGGGGAGAAAAACACAGGGGAGGGATGGGTGTGGGGGAAAGAGAGGGGAAGACTGAGATGGAATGGCTCAGATGATGACGCCCATGGAGTCATAACACAGCGGGCCGTCGCTGCTGCTCACTGCTGACGCCCTCAAGCCATACTGCCCTCCGCTCTGGGAGGGGAGAAAAACACAGGGGAGGGATGGGTGTGGGGGAAAGAGAGGGGAAGACTGAGATGGAATGGCTCAGATGATGACGCCCATGGAGTCATAACACAGCGGGCCGTCGCTGCTGCTCACTGCTGACGCCCTCAAGCCATACTGCCCTCCGCTCTGGGAGGGGAGAAAAACACAGGGGAGGGATGGGTGTGGGGGAAAGAGAGGGGAAGACTGAGATGGAATGGCTCAGATGATGACGCCCATGGAGTCATAACACAGCGGGCCGTCGCTGCTGCTCACTGCTGACGCCCTCAAGCCATACTGCCCTCCGCTCTGGGAGGGGAGAAAAACACAGGGGAGGGATGGGTGTGGGGGAAAGAGAGGGGAAGACTGAGATGGAATGGCTCAGATGATGACGCCCATGGAGTCATAACACAGCGGGCCGTCGCTGCTGCTCACTGCTGACGCCCTCAAGCCATACTGCCCTCCGCTCTGGGAGGGGAGAAAAACACAGGGGAGGGATGGGTGTGGGGGAAAGAGAGGGGAAGACTGAGATGGAATGGCTCAGATGATGACGCCCATGGAGTCATAACACAGCGGGCCGTCGCTGCTGCTCACTGCTGACGCCCTCAAGCCATACTGCCCTCCGCTCTGGGAGGGGAGAAAAACACAGGGGAGGGATGGGTGTGGGGGAAAGAGAGGGGAAGACTGAGATGGAATGGCTCAGATGATGACGCCCATGGAGTCATAACACAGCGGGCCGTCGCTGCTGCTCACTGCTGACGCCCTCAAGCCATACTGCCCTCCGCTCTGGGAGGGGAGAAAAACACAGGGGAGGGATGGGTGTGGGGGAAAGAGAGGGGAAGACTGAGATGGAATGGCTCAGATGATGACGCCCATGGAGTCATAACACAGCGGGCCGTCGCTGCTGCTCACTGCTGACGCCCTCAAGCCATACTGCCCTCCGCTCTGGGAGGGGAGAAAAACACAGGGGAGGGATGGGTGTGGGGGAAAGAGAGGGGAAGACTGAGATGGAATGGCTCAGATGATGACGCCCATGGAGTCATAACACAGCGGGCCGTCGCTGCTGCTCACTGCTGACGCCCTCAAGCCATACTGCCCTCCGCTCTGGGAGGGGAGAAAAACACAGGGGAGGGATGGGTGTGGGGGAAAGAGAGGGGAAGACTGAGATGGAATGGCTCAGATGATGACGCCCATGGAGTCATAACACAGCGGGCCGTCGCTGCTGCTCACTGCTGACGCCCTCAAGCCATACTGCCCTCCGCTCTGGGAGGGGAGAAAAACACAGGGGAGGGATGGGTGTGGGGGAAAGAGAGGGGAAGACTGAGATGGAATGGCTCAGATGATGACGCCCATGGAGTCATAACACAGCGGGCCGTCGCTGCTGCTCACTGCTGACGCCCTCAAGCCATACTGCCCTCCGCTCTGGGAGGGGAGAAAAACACAGGGGAGGGATGGGTGTGGGGGAAAGAGAGGGGAAGACTGAGATGGAATGGCTCAGATGATGACGCCCATGGAGTCATAACACAGCGGGCCGTCGCTGCTGCTCACTGCTGACGCCCTCAAGCCATACTGCCCTCCGCTCTGGGAGGGGAGAAAAACACAGGGGAGGGATGGGTGTGGGGGAAAGAGAGGGGAAGACTGAGATGGAATGGCTCAGATGATGACGCCCATGGAGTCATAACACAGCGGGCCGTCGCTGCTGCTCACTGCTGACGCCCTCAAGCCATACTGCCCTCCGCTCTGGGAGGGGAGAAAAACACAGGGGAGGGATGGGTGTGGGGGAAAGAGAGGGGAAGACTGAGATGGAATGGCTCAGATGATGACGCCCATGGAGTCATAACACAGCGGGCCGTCGCTGCTGCTCACTGCTGACGCCCTCAAGCCATACTGCCCTCCGCTCTGGGAGGGGAGAAAAACACAGGGGAGGGATGGGTGTGGGGGAAAGAGAGGGGAAGACTGAGATGGAATGGCTCAGATGATGACGCCCATGGAGTCATAACACAGCGGGCCGTCGCTGCTGCTCACTGCTGACGCCCTCAAGCCATACTGCCCTCCGCTCTGGGAGGGGAGAAAAACACAGGGGAGGGATGGGTGTGGGGGAAAGAGAGGGGAAGACTGAGATGGAATGGCTCAGATGATGACGCCCATGGAGTCATAACACAGCGGGCCGTCGCTGCTGCTCACTGCTGACGCCCTCAAGCCATACTGCCCTCCGCTCTGGGAGGGGAGAAAAACACAGGGGAGGGATGGGTGTGGGGGAAAGAGAGGGGAAGACTGAGATGGAATGGCTCAGATGATGACGCCCATGGAGTCATAACACAGCGGGCCGTCGCTGCTGCTCACTGCTGACGCCCTCAAGCCATACTGCCCTCCGCTCTGGGAGGGGAGAAAAACACAGGGGAGGGATGGGTGTGGGGGAAAGAGAGGGGAAGACTGAGATGGAATGGCTCAGATGATGACGCCCATGGAGTCATAACACAGCGGGCCGTCGCTGCTGCTCACTGCTGACGCCCTCAAGCCATACTGCCCTCCGCTCTGGGAGGGGAGAAAAACACAGGGGAGGGATGGGTGTGGGGGAAAGAGAGGGGAAGACTGAGATGGAATGGCTCAGATGATGACGCCCATGGAGTCATAACACAGCGGGCCGTCGCTGCTGCTCACTGCTGACGCCCTCAAGCCATACTGCCCTCCGCTCTGGGAGGGGAGAAAAACACAGGGGAGGGATGGGTGTGGGGGAAAGAGAGGGGAAGACTGAGATGGAATGGCTCAGATGATGACGCCCATGGAGTCATAACACAGCGGGCCGTCGCTGCTGCTCACTGCTGACGCCCTCAAGCCATACTGCCCTCCGCTCTGGGAGGGGAGAAAAACACAGGGGAGGGATGGGTGTGGGGGAAAGAGAGGGGAAGACTGAGATGGAATGGCTCAGATGATGACGCCCATGGAGTCATAACACAGCGGGCCGTCGCTGCTGCTCACTGCTGACGCCCTCAAGCCATACTGCCCTCCGCTCTGGGAGGGGAGAAAAACACAGGGGAGGGATGGGTGTGGGGGAAAGAGAGGGGAAGACTGAGATGGAATGGCTCAGATGATGACGCCCATGGAGTCATAACACAGCGGGCCGTCGCTGCTGCTCACTGCTGACGCCCTCAAGCCATACTGCCCTCCGCTCTGGGAGGGGAGAAAAACACAGGGGAGGGATGGGTGTGGGGGAAAGAGAGGGGAAGACTGAGATGGAATGGCTCAGATGATGACGCCCATGGAGTCGTAACACAGCGGGCCGTCGCTGCTGCTCACTGCTGACGCTCTCGAGCCGTACTGCCCTCCGCTCTGGTCAAAGAACACACAGGAGAGGGATTGGGGGGGGAAAGGCGCGGGTGTAAGGAGAGAGAGCGGCGGGGACTTGGAAGGCGGGTACCTGGAAGACGGGCGGGTAGCAGATGTCGCAGTTGTCGGGCTTGAGCTTGACTTTGATCTTGGCGGGGTCGGTGATGACCTCCTCTGTCTGCTCCATCAGCTCCGCATGTGTCATGCTGCGCTCCTCGTCTATCAGCACCTCCATCTTCGGCACCACGAACGCCTGAGAGACCGGGATGGGAGAGTGCGAGAGATATGAAAAGAGGTGCGGAGGGGAAGAAGTGTGCAATGCTGCGCTCCTCGTCTATCAGCACCTCCATCTTGGGCACCACAAACGCCTGGGGGGGGAGAGAGATGAGTGGGGAGAGGAAACGAGGGGCGAAATGCGGAGAGAGAGGGGAAGGGGAGGGACGCGATGCATTCCTCGTTCATCAGATCTCCATCGGCGGCACCACGAACGCCTAGAAGGAAGGCGGGCCAACCCCTTCCCACCCCATCCCAACCCACCCAACCCTACTCCACCCCATCCACCCCATCATTCGCGACTTTCATCCAGACCCACCCCTCCCCACGCCATCCCAGCCCACCCCACCTAATCCCACCCCATCCAAACCCATCACCCCACCTCAAGCGCCTGAGCGCTAAGAAAGGCGGCCTTCTTGATATTGATCACCTCGCCCTCATCCTTCACCGCCAGGATGTCCCATCTCCCATCCCACCCCACTCCACCGCAATCCATCCCATAGCCCCACCTTGAGCGCTTGAGCACTAAGGAACGCAGCCTTCTTGATGTTGATCACCTCACCATCATCCTTCACCGCCAGAACATCCCCCAGCGCCGGACCCACATCCACCGTCTCCAACCCCTCTCCACCGCTCTCCCCGCCCTCCCCCCCACCCGCTGCTGCCTCCACTGCCGCCGCCCATTTCTCCATGATCGCCCCCTCCGGAGCCTCCTTTGCTAGCACGCCCAGCCGCACCGGACCTCCGCCTGCCGAGCCTGCGCCGGAGGCTCGGATGGCGTCGATGACCTGCGCCATCTGGGAGGACCCGTCCTCGCTGCGAGGCTTGGGATGCAGCACCATCTCCACTCCGCCTGGCTCGAGGAGGGGAAGGAAGGGGGAGGGGGAGAGGGGAGCGGGGAATGGGGGAAGAGGAGGGGGGACAGGTAGAGGCCGCTTAGGTCCGAATACTACCGGCCATCCTCGCTGCGAGGCTTGGGGTTCAGCACCATCTCCACTCCGCCTGGCGCGGGGGGAGGGGGAGGAGAAGGGGGGAAGGGGAGAGGGAGGGGGAGGGGGAAGGGGGAAGGGAGGGGCAGGGGGGAGGGGAGGGGGAGGGGGAAGGGGAGGGGAGAGGGAGGGAGGGAAAGGGGGAGGGTTGGGGAGGACAGGCAGAGGCCTTCTAGAACGGAGTTCTACAGGCTTGGGATGAAGCACCACCATCTACACGCCTCCGCGTAGTTCTACACGCCAGACGCGGGGGGAGGAGGTGGGGAAGCGAAAAGCGGGGAGATGGAGAGGGGAGAAGGGTCGCTGACGGTGGAAAGCTCCGTTGGCTGACCTCACCTCCGCGTCTGATGAGACAAGCATTGAAATCGTCTACTGGCTGGTCACTTTGGGTGGCCGGTCAGATCAGGTGTAAATATTCCATCGTCTGCCCTCGCCTCCAGACACCGGTTCCCACCTCCCCCATCCAATCCCTTTCCTCCATCCAATCCCCCTCCCCGCCTCACACCTTTTCCACTCTCCAAATTTTCAGCATCCGAACGGCTAACGCATCTCTTCTTGTCTCTCTCGGACTGATCCCTGGCAATCTCTCCGCCGTACCGGATTTCTCCGCGCACACGCGCCTGACGGCCTCCAGATGCTGCGCCTTCTTCTGGCTGCACACCACGTGCACCGCTCCGCCGCTTCCGCCGCCTTCCCCGCCGGCTCCGCCGCCCTGCAGAAACACCATGACGGTCTCGGGGAATTCGTAACCCAGTAACCAGATCTGCAGCGCCGACGACTTGAGGTACCGCATGTCCTCGCTCGCCGGGGGAGTCGCGACGGCGAACGCGCTTGTGTTACCCCACGAACGGCTTTCGTCCTTTCGCCAGCTGTCGTAGAGAAGCTTCAGGCGGCGGCCGAACGTGTCCAGATCGAGCTGCAGCCCGCTCCCGCCGCCGCCGCCGCCGCCGCCGCCGCCTCCGGAGGGTTTGGAATCTCCCATCTCGACCGTCTACGCACGTGTATGACGACAATCGGTTGTCTGTGTGTCAATCCCCAGATATTCTGCTACTGAAGTGGTGATATCCAGGTATTATGGCTGTCAGACTACAGTAATCCAGGATTCGATGGATAGGTATGACTAATCTCTGAAATCTGATAGTTGCTGTGACGGCCAGGCGTCGATAGTAAATGCTTCACGGAGCCTGGTTACGAGCCCTGTCAGGCTTTTTTTCAACACCGAATAGCTTTGTCTCGGGCACTAAGACGTAACTGTCACCAGCTAACCTCTTGTATGCTATCGGAAAAGCCTCAGGCACTCGAAATCAGTCGTGGACGTAAGTAGCCTCTCCTGCAACGAAGCAACAATGAAACTGAAAAACCAAGCGCGAGATGGCAAAACCTCGTCAGCCCGTACCTCCACCAGCCGCAGCGAATACATGAATCCCTACATGAAGCAGCTAGAACCTTTCACGCAAGCTAATGGGGAGCTAGGACGGATCCTAGAGACTAGTGTCAGGATAGAAAGTTTGCGCGGGAAGCACTCGGTAAAAATAACGGCAGAACTGTTTGTGTGGAATTGGGTTTAATTCTGCGAAAAGTTGGAACAATTGTTACACACAAAAGCCAAAGGTTGATATGGAAGGTGCTATTTGAAAAACACTTACATTTGATCGAAAAATGGCTTGGCATCTTTTGGACATTAAATTACAATCTAAAAACAAATCAGAAAGAGAAGCTGCCTTTCAGGCAAGCAAAAAGATGGCGATACTATTCTAACCCAGAAAATCAAATTGGAAACTCTTGAATAAAGTGGTAAAGACCTGTGCGTTCCACCAAGTCGTTGTAACGAGGATTATCCACACCGCACACTCCAAGCGTGCACGAGGCACGCGCCACACTCGGGTAGAGACCAGTCAGTATCTACACCGAGCGGACAACAGCAGCGAGGCGCGATAATAAGTGGCTCTGCGCGGTCCGCAACACGGCAAGGCTCTCCGCCTTGATCCGCGAGTCCATCGAGGTATTCCTCTCCAGCTGAACCACCGCAGACTGAAGCTCAAAAAGCATCTTCTTCACAGCAGCAGGACACGAAACGTCAATCCCAAGGGCGGAGCTTGCAGAAGGCACACTAGAAGATGCGGATGAGTCACGGCGAAGAAAGGATGACTCAGCCTGTGACGCTTCAGCCTCGCCATCTCTCGGTTCAGCGCATTCGGGGTCGTTGCTACACACAGAAGCGGTATCGTCGTCAGTTTCCGGAGCCTGTGCCGAGACACGGCGCGAAACCGCCGCAGCCGCCGCCGGCAGCGGCGCTTCAGACGCCAGCGCGGCTCCTGAGTTCTGCTTCTGCCTCTGCGCTTGCTTGAACGCAGCGAACAGCTGCAGCGCCTTGCGCGCCGACGGCTGCTGCGCGCCAAGCTGAGCGTGGAGAAACAGAAGAAACCCGTTCACGTCGTTCCCAAACTCCTCCTTCATCGCGACGCGATCCCTCAGCTTGCCAACCGCCGCGTCCCACTGCGCGAGATTCGCGGCCGGCAGAGAGCCACGTAGCGACGACGTCAGCCTGTCATACTTCACGAGCCGCTCCGCCACGTCAGCGTCGCACGGAAGCACCGCTGGAAGTCCCGACGCCGCGGCACCGACCTCGAGCGCATTTGACGGGACTTGCAAGGGGCAATCGGAGGGAAAGGTGGTCCGAAGCTGGCTGGTAACCTCCTCGTCGAGGCGGGCTGCGGCGTGCGAGCGCTTCACGGCGCGGCGGAGGGCCTCCACAGGCGGGAGCGGACAGCGCGCTGGAATGGCGGCGGGAGATGCGGCGGGAATTGCTGCAGGAACAGCGGGGAGTGTCGGATTGGTCCGCCGGAGTGGACTGGAGCTGAGGACGCGCGGAATCTGGGGAGGGGATTGCGCTTGCGGCTTGAAACCGCGGAGCATTGAAAGGAAGGGAAGCGCGACATTTGTGTTGTCGTCGCATGGCGAGCGTGGAAGACACTGTTCCAAAATCGCGCCATTACACGGCGGGCACGGGGGAGGGGAGGCGACCGGATTGGAGGATAGGCTGAGCGTCGTATCGAGGAGAGTCGCTGGAGGGACAGAGATCGGGGAGGATGAGAGGGACCGTAGGCGTTTGCTTGCGTGTAACGAGTCCGCGAAGAACGGAAAGCCTATAGCTGGGAGAGGCTCCATGGCGGGAGCGGTAGAGAGAAACGCGCGGAAGTGCGTGTGGTCTGGGGTGGGCGAGCTGAAGTGGAGTGCCATGGAAATTGGCGTCCAGGATAAGAATGCTCGGAAAGGAAACTCTGGCGGGTTTCAGATTGCGAGCGAAGGTGCAAATTCGATGGGAGATGATGGTGGAAGCGTGTGTACGAGGGTTGCTTTTATCCAGGAGGACGTTTGGGATGGGGGTGGGGGGGACAGAGGGGGGCTAAATGGTTGCATGGATGATCGCACGAGTTCCTTCTCTCGTCCTGTGTGTGTCAGTGTGTGAGCGAGCGAGTGTAGTGTAGTGCTGGGTTGTGTGAGGGAGGGAGAAGCATGGCACAGACCAGGGGGCTGCGCGCACAGTACAGCGCAGCAGAAAAGGCAGCAAGAAGGAAAGGGAAACGGAGGGTGTGTGGTGGGGGGAGTTATTGGGGAGTGGGCTGGGATGCGAAGAGATGGGGGAAGGTTGTGGAGGGCGTCCGTTTGGCTGCTGGAAGGTGCCCTTTCGCCTGGTGGAATGGCCATTGGCCAATTTTCTACAGCTCGCATCGCACACAAACTCGTACCGTACAGTAGAAATTTTTTTTTCGAGTGTTGTGGTGCAGTACTCAGTGGGAGATTTTCCGAATGGGAAAATGGTCGCAGGCCCAGCCAACACTCTAATTACTGCCCGACATAGACACTCTTGTGAGCCTCTTGAGGCAAATACCGCGTGTACACAGAAAACTTCCTCTGCCCTAGCATGCCAGCGTGATGCGTTGTCGGCATATGGCATTATGGCACCGCCGATGTTCTAGACACGCACGCTTCGCTCCTTTGCCTTGCTGGATGCGGTCTTGCACCTCATGTGGTCGGCTGAAGCGTGTGTCTTTACTGCTCCCCGCCCTTGAATGTGCGGATAAATTTCTATAAAGAAATTGGATCGCAGAATCGAGGTCATTTGCGACTTTCTTGGCTGCCTCGTCGACGGCTTCTGCAACTCGACCAACCTCTCCGATGAAGCGCTGGATTGGGAATGAAAGGAGGCTGCCACTGTTGAGAGATCTTCCAACAAACATTCTTCTGACGTGGCGCTTCAGACGAGAGGGATTGTTAAAATCCCCCTTCCCCTGTTCGCACGCCTGAGTCCATTCCAACGCCACAGAAACGCCACCGTAGTCACTGCTTGCTGACTCACCAAACGTATGCGCTGGCAGGCCAAGGCGGAAATCCACCTTGCGCTGGAATCCAGGCCAGCGCCAGCGATTGGAAGTTAGGCGTAGGGGCTCGGGGATTGGCTTCGGGGTGGCGTGGAATAAATGGGAAATCTGGGGATACAGAGTGGTTTCAAGTTTCAACTTGCTTGAAGCAAATGGATGTGGAAAAGGGGGGAAGGAATATGTGTGTCATAACACTTTTCGCGCAATGTCCTCGTCACCACGAAGTACACGTATCGCGGGCCGTTAGGGTATCCAGCACGAGATGGTAAAGGCCAATCAGAAGCTGCGAGTGAATGGCGACCACGTGCTCTGGAGGTGCAGTATATGGCTCGTTACGGTACAGTGTATGTACAGTGTACCTCGCATAAATGCTCAATGGAGGAGGTTGGTGAAAATGATAATTTTTGAAAGTGTAATGAAATGTAACACTTTCTAAAATTTTGTATTGTGAAAAGGGGTACGTGGCCAACACAGCAAAGGTAGCGCCGAAGCGCTACTCACCCTCTTTTGCCTACAAAAGAGGGACGTGGGGACATTCGTCCCCACCCACGTTTTCATTTTCAAAATTGTAGTTCTAATTTCGTTCTCGTCCACACTGGCGAAGACTCTATCGCTTCCGCGCTTCACTGCCCCGTCAACGCTTCTTAACGACATCCTTAAGCGCAACCTCGCAGCGATGGCTCCAGTCAACCCGGCACTTAATCGCGACAACTCGAATATTTCTAGCCCCGGTAACGCGGCGGAAACCTCGACTCCGGCCGGGACAACGGATCGTCGCGGCGGAAAACGTCCCGCCGAAGAAATTTCAAGCGAGGGACCCTCGGCGGTCGACCTCCTGCTCGGAGGCACCCTTCGGACCCCCCCTGAGGAACGCGCGACTGTTGTACAGTCGCGCGTGGCTGCTGCTGAAGAGCGCGTGCCTGGCAGGCACGCGCGTGCTGCGCAGAAGACGACGACCGCCGCTGACGCGGCGGCCGTCTTGACCGGCGCTGACGCGGGTCCATCCGGGCCCACGACCCAGAAACGCCAGCGCGCGGCACCCTCCGCTGATGTCACCCCCCACCCCGGTCAACGCACCCCCCCCTTTGACTGCGCAGCAGCTGCAGGCGCTGCTCTCGTTATTGCAGCAGCACGCTCCATCGACTGCAGCTACATCAACGGAAGAAATTTCCGCTTCCGCTAAAATCGAAAAGCAGAAGGAAAACGTCGCAGCCCCCCGCTCCACCAAAATCGCTCGCA